TGTGGTTTTTTCCCACGACAACGCCACAACCACAACAAAGAATCCCAACACAAGCAATTTTTTCAAAAGGTCCGGGCAAAACAACCTAATGAAAGTTTTTCCCCGAAACGAGCGATCAAAAAAAATAAATTTGTTTGGTTCCCCCCCAAAGAGGTTTTGGGTCAAATAGAGTGTTTCATAGAAGTTGGGGGTCCAAATAGAAGTGGTTCCCCATAGAACCTTTTGGAATTGCTGTGGGCAAAATGCACATCAAAGATGGCTTTAACTAAATGGACAATGTGTGCTAAAACAGACCCCCCCAAATACAAATGCTATATGTTTATATTTCGTAAAGCCCCATAACTAGGTACCAATGCCCACTCCCGCCTAATATACTAAGTACCCTACCGTACTTAGGTGATATTAACACCGGGTGGATGTGACATCCAGCTATACTTCCAGATGACACGCAGGTCTGGAAATGTACAGTAATAGACACAAGGAAGCAGTGGGCCGTGTTTCCTGAACGGGAGTAATAGAGCCGCCAACAGTAAACACGACCTATAGCCCCAGAGTTACAGCGGTTCAAAATAACCGCAGCATATGCCTCCACTCTGCTCTCGATTGCTCGAGTTGATCAAAAGATCCAAGCCCATGCCGCAGACGTCACACCAAGAGTGCCGACTGACATCTTACCCACTGAGATCGCAGTTATGATCTTAGAACTGTTAAGTCACAATGTATCTCAGGTTCTCGCGCGCATGTTCACTTTTAATTCTTTATAGAGATGTTAGTATGGTCTACTCTCGTAGTCTCTATAGAGATGGGTTTCGAATCCGTTCTTGATTGCTCGTAAGAGGTATATCTTTTCAGTCGATGTGTAGTTGTTGTCTTAGGGCATGTTTATCATTGCTCTCACGCACATCACAGCACACCTTAAGGCCTATTAACTAATAGCACACCACTCAACTCGGGAGAGAAGCGTACTTCGAGCTAACTGCCATGGCAGGAGTAGGGCTAGATGTGGCTCGCCAGCTATGAATTTAATATGAAGTTGGTATAACACATAACAAAGATCACGGGGGGATAAGAGAGTGCTCATAAGTTATCGGAAGGGAAACGATCCCATATGGGAATTTACTGGGGTAGGGCACGCAGCTTATCATAGTATGGACATGTTGTGGTTGACATATATATTGAACGACTCTTATTCTTGCTTTACAGGCTAACGGTAGCATCTGTCGAGACCTGCGACGGGTGGATTACGTTCGGCTCAGGGAAAATGCCGCATTGATGCTACATATTGAAGTACTTCGCACTCGCCACACACTCAAGTATTCATTCTGAAGCAGCGCAATGCCTCAGGCACTCTTCAACTCTCTTCTTTCTCTCTTAGGATTAGTTGCTACGTGCATATTGCCATCCACCACTCGGAGCACTCTGGAAAATTGGCTCTTAATATATTCGGCCCCCACTGCGGGTACTTACATCTCTCTATTTGCAGGGTGCAGCGGTAGGAGGTCAGGCTCGACAGCTGAATCATTGTACCAACCAGGGAGAAGGATAATGTAGGATAAGATGGGCGGGTTCGCATACATGTATGTTTAAATTTACTTGGAGATAGCTAGGTGGGTTGACAGTAGGGATTCAGACATTGAAATGCCAACGCGAAAACCGGCATATAGGGAGTGGTATCGAAAACAAGTAAATTTTAAAATCCTGGAATTTAAAAAAGAAGCATGTAGGGAGACAAGATAGGGATGTTGGATCACCAGCTGGGAGCATTGAGAATTTAATTGAATATACTCACGCATAAGTAGAAGGGTACTCGGCTGCACAGACTCACTCTCACTATACGGCCTTGCATTCTCAGCTTTACGCCATCGCTCATAGGTGGGTGAGCCTTTGACCAAGTGTGACGCGTGGCTGCTCGCATCAGCTCCTGAGAATGTGCTCTCTAAGACAGAGAGCTCTTTCTTACGCAATGTATAATGAGCGCAGGGCAGTTGCGTTATGAGATAGTACGAGCACGCACTAAGGGCACTCGCCTGTTTCAGGCAATTAGTGAGGTCAGTGAACATCTAGAGGTACTGCTCGGCTGGCACCGAATCCAGACAGACATATCTGGAAGACACGTTTACAATCAACACGGAGCACACTGGCTGGAAGGGCAGAACTGACTGACTTGTTGTCGTCGTTGGCTGTTGTAGAAGAAGTTGCTGCCTCCAGTTGGGTCGGTTGGCATGCACTGAACATCAGAGTTCCCTCATTACTAGATGCCAGCACCTGCTGCTATCTGCAGTCAGAGAGAGAGAGCGAGAGAGAGAGAGCATTGAAAAGAGAGTCGGTGGAGTCGTGTGTAGTGGGAGAGAGACGAGTCGACTCATGCCATGTAGTGAGAGAGAGAGAGGAGAGCCATCGAAGAGAGGAGAGAGATGGAGGGAGGCATGGCTTAGGAAAGGTATGAGAGATTGAAAGGCGCAGACGACACGTGCCAGAGATATATACGTATGAGCAGAAGGACAGAGACACGAAAATGAAGCTATAGGAGATGAGGTGGAAGTGGAAAGGTATTCTGGCTCACATCATTGCGGATCTCCTGCGGAAGGGAGACACACTGGTCTAAGAGGTAGGCCCTGGATCAGTCCGTGGTGAGGACACGCTTCGTGGATAGTCAGGGAACACTCGGGTACCAGGTACCCAGGGTCATTGGCCAACAGCTCTCTACAGCAGCAGAGCACAGGATAACTAACTACCCGTTCCATTGACTTCACTGACTGTATCTAGCCAACTGAACATGTTCTGACATTTTGCCTCTCTGATGTAGTCAGTCTCCAGGCCAGCTCCTTCCTTGCCACTGTCACCACTCATCCAAAACAGACCTACAGTCATACATACATATCACATATACAAATTGTACATATCCTCATTGCATTGTAGCATGGAACACGAAGAACATTGCACATCAAGGACTTCCAGGAGATGAACTCCTCACTAGGCGGTAAAAATACTACCAGTTCCATGGGCCTCTCTCAATATAGGTATAAGTAAGGTGGTATGTATATATTATACTTCAGGTAGTATGTTCCAGAGTTTCAAGATGCCCATGAGGGTTGTCTATGTCACTGTCAATACTCTGAGCCACACCTGGATACTGCCGAGGAGCACAAAATTGAGCTCCCTATTATAATCTATCGTTTAGCTAAAAACTCGGCGAGCTTTGTACAGAAAGCACACTGGATTTATAATGTTTCCAAGTGTGCGTAATTACATACACATACATACTTGCAATCACGTGTAATACGTAATACCTGTATCTTCATGGCGGCACACTGGCCAGAGTGGAGGACAACAGAATGGACCTGGCCTATGGAGGCAGCTGCCAGCGGCTGGGGGTCAAAGTCCGCCAGTTGATCCCTCCATTTCTCCCCCAGAGCTCCTCCTCTCAGCACTTTCTGGCAGACAGACAGCACAGAATACACATACAGTCCGACACATTATCGAGCAACCATGGTTCCTGTAAATATATCTTCCCACTATTAATAGAGGCAATCTGCAGTCATTTTGTGCAATGATTGTGATAGTTCTAGTGAGGATGCAGGCAAAGATTGATGGCAGCCAATGCTAAAAGAGCGAACGGTACACTACTGATGGGATGCACTTGTATACCTCCATTTGCCAGAGAGGCATGAAGTCGGCACTGTTCCTGACTCTGTCAAACATGTCCTGAATTGGCTCCGGGACAAGGTTACTGTCTGTGGGGTGAATACATACAGAGGGAGAGGGCGAGAAAGCACGCTGTCATCCCATACATCACAGTCACTATTACACTTTACAGTTAAAAGGTATAAATATGTACATTTATGATGTTTAGAAGACGTTCGAAAAACAGTCCATTTCAAAAAAATTTTGAAGATGAAACATTTGAGGGAGGCTATAACTGCAGAAATGGTTGAATACTCCACATTATTGGCGAGCGGAAGCGAGCTAACCTAGTGGTCCGAACGGCGCGATTTTTCTAATATATATATATATAGATGTACCCGTACGTCGTCCACGATGCGCATGACTCCAGCATTACGACGATTCTTTTTATCGAAAGGATTTCAAACATTTTCATAATGCTGCGCTGAATTGAGCGGAATCAGGGAAACGCAACACCTCCGAAGCTATCGAGTAATGCTGCACAGTCCAGCGAGAGATTTTTCTCCATTGCCACTGTTCCCATATTCCAGGCAAGGACCAATCAGATTGCGGATTATGCCTGATCGCGCTGTCGTTCTGACTGTTTGACTCGACTCGAATGTTTACTGCGCTCGGGTCGTTCGGACAACTTGGTCCTGTGCATGTACTCACTGTTTGGTGCACACACAAGAGTGACTCATACGATCTAGACCGCAATGTAAGCCGCGCTCCGCTCGCCAAAAATGCCATGCATTCGCCTACTAGTACTGTATCTGAGCAAGGACTCCAATCATCAATAGAGTCCTCCAACTCTCACCTTGGAGGCTGATCATCTGACCAATCTTGAGGGCAGCTCCACGGACGGTACACAGGGTGTTAACGATCCGCTCCACATTGGCCTCAGTGAGGAGAGGGTTATCGGCCACCAGGGAGGGAGTGTTAGCCATGCCCAGTGACCTCTTCGCGACCTCTGCAGCAGCTCCCACCCCAAGTCCTGCCACCAGACCTGGCAAAGAGTTGACATACAGTGGAACCATCCGGACAGCAATGAGGCAGAAGAGAGCGTCCTTATTTCAGGGGTTAAATTGTTATGCAAGAAACTGTTCTGGATTAAAAAACTTAGAGATGTGTCCTCATATATACCAGGGTATATAAAGGGTTCAGTAGATGCATATTTTGTGAAACCAACCAGTTTTTCACAGTTGGAGTGCACACCAAATTATCTCAAGGAAATATTTTTGACAATCGCAGTAAGCGATTGTAGCTCACCTCCAAAGCTAAACAAACGGCTGACTCTGGTGGCTGGTACTGCCCTCTCCCTGGCCCTGGAGCTCAGCTGTTAGAACAGAAGACACCAAGAATGCTGCTGTAACATTGGTAAAGAGTGCAAAAAATCATTGTGTGGAGATTTAACCTTTTGTTTGGGTTTGGGATGTTTCTCTTTTGCAGCAGAGTCCAGAGTGCCCCCCTCTGACCTTGACCTGGAGCCCCCGCCCGCCACTGTCTCGTTCCCATACCTAGTACTGGAATGGAACCACCGCCGACTGGAGCCTCCTCTCGACGCAGGCTGACGTGGCAGATGAGCGCGTCTTTGTGTGTGGGACTCTCGACTTGTAGTCCCCACTGGATTTTGGTCCAGCGAGGCAGGAGGTGGAGGGGGTATAGGGGAGTCCTTATTTGCCCCGAGTTGCTGTGGCAGAGGTGTTGTGGTTACACCATCTGTGTCATGATGGAGTGAACCGGACGAGATGGACCCAGTTGAAGGCTCATTCATTGGAAAGAGCTGCTGGTCCTCTTGCTCTCCCCATTCCGGGAAGAACTCCTTGTCGAATCCACCACCATTGCTCCATTTACCGGCCCACTTTAGTTCCCCGTACTCTATCCAGCCCTGACTGGCGGTCTTATAGAGAGAAGAGGGGGCTGGAGTCCTCGAGAGAGAGTTCTGGAGTTCAGAGGTCGCCTCTGCACACACGGCAGCAGCCACTTTCCTCAGGCCGGTTAGGACACCCGCTAAATCACGCAGCGCCATTCTACCCGAGACCTCCAGCTCTCATAAAACGACAAATGATTCAGAACTGCAGGGCTGGGAGAAAGCTGCTCCACAGCCAACACTAGACGGTGCGCGCTAAATAGACGGCTCAAATTACATAATCAACCGTAACACGCGCATGCGCAAAACTTACTTAAAACCCCATTGCATGGGGTACGTGTACGTACGTTTGCATGCTGTTTGCATGGCGTTTGCTGTTTGCTGCTTTAAAAAAAGTGCTCCAACAATAATGTATCTGTGCAGTGCAAGGGCTACAACTATTTTTAGTTAATGTCAGGTTCTGCATTGATTGATTTCTTGACGACCAGCAACTGTGCTGTAAGCCATGGATCAATCCGCGAGATGGAGTCATAGTCCCTCACCTACATACAGACCAGAACGGTGGCAACAAAACCGTGTGTGTGTTTGTGTACTGAGTCAAAGTCACTCACAATATCACCAAACTTGTCAGGATCTTCCTCTCCATGGACTTCTATGAGATCCTGTCAATACAAAAATGGGAAAGGTATAATTATATATACTATAAAAAGCTGGTACACGTTCTGTAAGATGTATGTGTGATAGAATCCCCCTGAGCTATGAAGCTCAGACACGTATGGCAGAAAACTTTCAACTTTGCATTGTGGTGGAATGAGTCCCAACCCACAAAGCTTCACGGCCTTCGAATCTACAACACAACACAACACAAAGGCAAACCTCAAACCACTGTGCTATGGCATGTTGGAGCAGACCGGGGTAATTAGTTTCCTGAAAGTAAACCCCTGCTACACGGTATTCCCACCATACCTGAATGAGTTTGAGCTCCCTCGTTCCTTCAAAGCCCGGGTGGACCTGCTTGTACTCCTCTATTGAGGCCTACAAAATGGTAGACATATTATACACACCCACAATGTGTACTCTGACTGATTCGGTCAATTCGTCACCTTGACATTGTCCACTCCCATGCAGAACCGGCAGATAGAAGCCTTGAAGAAGTGATCTTTGGCCGAATATCTGAGAAGACTGTTCTCCAGTGAGTTACGACCAACCTATACAGCACAAGAAGGGATGAGATACACACAGGTAATGATAGTTGGTTCTTTTGGTATATACAATACTCATGTGCCTACAAAAAATGCCAAATCGTTGACAAACATGTAGCTAGGGGAGGACGCTGAATTTGGGTGAGATAGGGATAGGTGCAGCGAGATAGAAGATGGTATATACCATTCCATACTCCAACTAATGAGTTATTGAGGGGCGGAGGGAGGAAGGAAGCACATACAAAGAGAAAGAGTGAGTGAGTCAATGTGAGAGTGAGGGAGAGAAGAGGTGTCTTCAAAAGTAGTGACATATCACACATGCGTAGGTTCCTAACTGATAGGCTAATGTATGTGTGCACACGAGATATACAAACACCTCCTCAAAGATGCCAGCAGCCTTGTCAAACTGCTGCAGCATGGCCGCCATGTGAGCCACTTTTAGCAGACATTTGTTGGCTGACCTGCAGACACAGATGAGAATGGAAATGGGGATTTGAACCACCATCCACAAGATTATGACCAACCCAGTTGAGTCCTCTCCCTTGTAGTAGTCAGCTGCCTGCTCATAGTGAGTTATGGCCTGGGCAATGGTGTGTGAGTGCGTGAATAGGGAGGAAGAAAACGTATTTCTCACTGGGCCACTCATACAGCAAGCTCAGTGTGGATGTTTCTGTTTACTAGCACAGCAGCCCCCAACTCCCTATCGAAACAAACTCGGAAGGTAATGTAATTATACCTGTTCGAAGTCACCCAGCTCTGACTCACAGATCTCAGCTATGTTACTGTGGTAGCGTGCGGCCATTGTAAACCTCCCCTGGAGAAGGGAGAGAGAGAGGAGGGAGAGAGAAAGGCGAAAGAGAGTAGGTTGAGAGAATGAATAAACATGTGCAACTGCTAAATCCACTAGTAGTATACCATGTCAGTGTATATCTCAGCTGCCTGCGAGTAGCACTCCACAGCTCCTACAGATCAAACATTCTCTTTATATTATACACACAAACACACTATGTACATAATCCCTTTCAACTGGCTATGTATTACGGTTAGTGGGTGCAAAGCGAAGTGTCTCACTCTTTGGGTCTTCTCTCTTGTAGACTTGGCCGGCCTCCACCAGGTTCGAGCCTGCCTCGTGTTTCACGTCCAGTTTCATCTGTACGTCTGCTGCAAGACAGAACGCATCTCCGGCATCTGCGGGAAGAATAGCTCACAGTCACGGAAATGGCAATTGACTTGGAGTTTAGCCTCGGGTCTATGGCTCTAGTGCTATAGTAGTTAGAGTTTAGCCAAGGTATACCTGGCATGATGTCAACAACACTTCTTGGAGCCATATATTATACGTGGAGAAAATGTGCTCAGTCAGCTCAGTCAGCGGGCCCACCAGCTACCCCACATTCCAGGCAGTCAATCCCATGCTAGGAGCCCCACCCAACGACATTCCTCGGTGCTAATGCACCCTGACTGCCTCTCAATGTACACAGCACAGCCATATATACAGGTTGCCAATGGTGTGGGGGCCCTCTCAACTTTAGGTCAATTGGCTCCTCGTGTCGGGACTATGCACACATATTTCAATGACAGCATTGTATGACCCAAGGAAGACTTTGTGCATGTCAGTTGGTATTCACCAAATTTTCATCCACTTATACAGTACTCCCATAGTGCACACAATACCTTTCCACTTCTTGGCCACTTTGTAAGTGTTGGCAGCTCTCACGTAGAGGTCTGCGGCATCCTCCATCTTTGCAGCACCCCTAGACACAAGTAACTATATCAGCAAAGGACAGAGTATAGGTCCCGATTAGTGGGGCATCCTCACTGAATGACCACCTATACCCCTCCTTTACTGCGGCTACAGGCTAAAGAGCTGTCACATGACCGTGTTGTATGTCTGCTGGCACATTGTGATATCAGCATTGGCTACACAACACTCAGCAATATCGCACACAGCAGCATGCCATGCATTTTGACTGAAAGTGTGTTTTTACAGCCTCCCCACCCTCCCCCCTTCTTTTATAGCAAGCGGAGTGTGCTATTCAAACGTGCCTCACCCAAACAGGCCTCCCAGGAATGTCTGTGACGACTTCATCTTCTTCTCCGCCTGTGCTATATACTCCCTCGCCTTCTTCTCCTGCGGGGTCTCGGGGCCGGCGGGTTTGGCCGCCGCCGTGGGCTGTTTGGGAGCAGTAGGAGCTGCCTCGGTCGTCGTTGGAGAGTCCGGTTTGTCTGTGGAGTTTGGTTCGCTGGCGGCGGGCCCGTCCGGGGAGGGCTCCTCCGCTGCAGGTGAACCGCCTTCTGGGATTTGTGGCTCAGCCATTTCGGAACGTTGGAACTCGACTGCACCGCACACCAGCTTCTAGAACTTTGGAGCTGCTGATGATGCACACAACAGCGTCTTTCTCTGTAGCTAAGCGCACATGACGGCTAAGCGCCCAAATATTGCTGACTTCGCAGAAAACACTCGCCGCCCTTCTTTGCTCGAGATGCTCTTCTCAATCTCCTGATTGACTTAATTGCCGCTCACTCTGGAGAAGCCACCTCTGCAGCACAAGACGTCTGAGTGAAAATACACTCCCTACTCCGTACGTTGCCGTAAAACCTCTAGCTCGTACGCACGTTCACACACCTGGCACACGTACAGGCACACACACACGTACTGCACTGGGGAACGAGATGGCCAGAAACTGCTGCAAGTATTTCACAGTGAGCCTTGTCCCAGTGGCCTCCGTGGTTCTAGCTGTGCTGTTTGGTCTGGCCATTGCGGTCCTGCCTGTTCTCTACGTCCAACTGGCAAAGCAATACAGGGTGAGTAGTGTGGTTTCTCCATCCATAACACTATGACATACATTTGTCATCGAGGGATTAAATGCCACTGCAACTATGCCAGTTCCACCCCCTTACACTGCATGTGCCGAAGCATAAAGCATGAGACATAGTACTGTGTTGTTGGGCTATTAATCTTAGAAGGTGGTGAGCATAATAGCTGTTTGGATATCAATTGTACCACTCCACGTGACATGTATTGCTTCATTATTAGAAGTTTCTGCATAACTCAAGTGTGGTTTTACATCTCATTTCTCCATTGTACACATATGTGATCCTCTCCACAGTATGGGGTAATAGTGGATGCTGGGTCGTCACACACAGACATGTTCTTCTACCGCTGGGAAGTCCCTCGATATAGGGACACAGCCAAACACTTCCAACAGGAGCACCACTGCTACTCTGATAGTGAGCCAACCTGCCTTGACACCCCACTAATAATATTATGCAGGTAGTATAATACTAGGAATGTGCATGCGCATATTTTGCCTCGCGCCTGCCAGCTAATGCGTAAACACTCCGACTGAGGCCGCTCGTGCGCGTGCTCTACTGACTGCGCGCGCGAAGCCAGACTTCCTACGAATCTGCGCGCACGGCGGAAGCTAGACTTCCTACGAATCACGGAAGTGACATTCCTAAGCGTGACTAATTGACATTCTTAGCGTGACGACACGTACGTACGTACGCACGTACGCATATCGCGAGAATACAACCCGGAGTAGTTGCCTCACGCTAACGCGCTCGGCAATAAGTGGTTTGGTGGTAAATCCACCAAAATCACTTAACCCAATAACCTACGTACTTCATCCCATGAACACGTTCACCAATTCAGGCAAATAGACTATCTTATGTACATGTGTGTGTGTGCAGAGAGTATCAACAGCTATGCCGACAAGAACACCAGTGAGGCAGGCAGTGTGCTGGAGTCATGTATCACTAAGAGCAAGAACAGGGGCTTTGTCACTAGTGGCCAGCGCTCTAATACACAGCTCTTCCTGGGAGCCACTGCCGGCATGAGACTCGTCTAGTGAGCATATTAATTAATACCAACGAAACATGAGTCTATTTTCTCCCTTGAACGATATTTATGCTAGAAGTCTTTAAGGACCCAACAGAAGCTTGTCTGTCTGTCTGTCTGTCTCCAGTTGTAAGAACGTGACTCTCGGGGAAGAGATCATGTCGAGTGTCAACTCCACACTGGCCGGCTCCGGGTACCATCTTGTGAGTGGGAGGGTCATCTCGGGCCAGGAGGAGGCGGTGGCAGGTTGGATCACTGGCAACTACCTGCAACAACACCTCAAACACTCTGTGAGCTCTGACCTACGGTTTGTGTATAACATACAATTGGGTAGGAGGAGACTTGGGTTCTTTCTCTTTTTCATGCGTCTGTGTGTGCGTACGATGTCCATGCTTATACTGTAATTTGCATATTTCACCAGTTTTTAACTCTCTAATTACAGGGAAGCTCTTCTCTGATGGGGTCACTTGACCTCGGAGGAGCGTCGGCCGAGATAGCGTTCCTAGACTCCACCTCTGACCCCCGGAGCCACACCCCCTACCATACGAACGTATCTCTCTACGACAGGAGCTACACTCTGTATGCCCGCAGCTATCTCTGCTACGGACTCAACGAGGCTTACCGTAGATTCCTAGCCCATCTCATCAACGTAAGTTCGTCTCATCAACGTAAGTTCAATGACAGAGTGGGCACATTAGACAAGACAGGGATCACGTGGACAAACTTACTAGTACGTAAAGAGTTTCAGTTTTCAATGTTGTGTAGTCAAGAGCTTTCTTAGCATTGGTCATGAGTGTTAGCGTTTACAAAGTACATCTGGGTGCAGGAGTGAAAAAGAACTTATTGAAGCTCTTTTTGTTATCCCTCCAACTGGTATAGGGTAGTGGTGATGTGTCTCAGCCCATATCCCAACCCCTGCCTGCTGGCTGGGACCAACCTCACCTACCAGACTGGCGACATATACTCCGAATGTGTCAGCCATAACTGCAGCAGCGGTGTATTTGGCTTTGGGTACTCTCCCCCCTCCTCCACCTCCTCGCATCTCTCGCTGGAGGACGACGACGAGCCGTCCAACTACACGTTCAATGGGACGGGGAATCCCGAGGAGTGTAGGGACACCATTCTCCAGGTGTTTGACCTGGCCAACTGCACCCAGTGGGGAGCCTGTCTCCATGATCAGACCAAGTACTTTTGGCCACCGATCAACAACTCTGGAACCTTCCTGGTGGGTGGGTGGGTGCAGCATCTACACACATACATACTGTGGCAAGAAAAATTTCTATAATATTATAGATAGAATACTTTTCTACTTCAGTAAAAAATTTCACGGAATGGGTGTGCACGTCCAAATTTGCAGATGGATCTTAACATTGATATAGGGGCCCCCTCAGTTTCCTGTTTCAATTTTTATGTAACAATTTAAAGTACATGTGTACGTCTCTAACATAATATGCATGAAGCTGTTTTGTTGATATAGGGAATGTCAGGATTTCTACTCTGTTGCCAGTTTCTTCAATCAGTCTGATAGGGATCTGCAGAGTCTTTCAAATTTCAGCGAAAGTGTGCGAGATTTCTGTCGTCTCAGCAACCATAGTGTAAGTCGGTACCCTCTCACACACCGGGAGTATATATCTTTGCCTGCAACTTAGCACGATCTGTTAGTAAACCTAGTCGTCTGAATATATCGCTGTTCATACTGCAATGCTTTATGGGATTCTTTAAATTTCACACATACCTTTGCTTCCCGATAGGTTGCATGCATCTGTATAACTGTATAGGCATTGATGTGACTATTACAGGCGATGGTAAGGTGGCGAGGTAACCCGTACCTCCAGAGACTGTGTTTCGACGGAGAGTTCAGCCTCTTTCTCCTCCAGACTGGGTTTGGATTCAACCAGACCAACTCTGACTGGACCCTCACGTTCTGGGACAAGGTCAGTGACACCATTGCTATATAATGCCCAGTGGAGTATCATTACTGTGAACTTTAAGGAACAGTGTAATGTTAATAGTTCAAGTGCATGTGCATTCAGGGGATGGGATTTGGTTCCACGGAGTGTCTTTGTAAACTCCGGTTTGTCTCAACTATTCTTGACTGATTTCACTAAAAAATCTCAACAACACAACTAACATTGTGCTGTTCCTATTACACCGTCGTGCAGGTGAACCACAAGACCAGTGTTGGTTGGGCGATGGGATACCTGCTACAGGAGACCACCACCATCCCCGACAGTCCCCACCACACCGTGAGACCATTCGAGGCAGTGGACCTGGCCGTGGGGATTCTAGTCCTGGCCATCCTCTGCGTCGTCTTTGTCGTCTTCTTCTTCCTCACGTTCCACGCCTGTCGCAAGGTCCTCCGGACGAGCAGTGGCTACACCAACATCTCTTGACAAACACTGCTGAAGATATGGCTCCATGCATGCAGCAGATACATACATATACACAACCATATATTGTCTTCTGGACTTTATTTTCTCAGATTCTCTGCATTATTGCGTGTTTGCCAAAAGTCTGATTTCTTGTGCAGGCGGGTGAATCAATCGACACTCTGAGTGCAGTAGAGTTTGCGCAAGCCTTATATAGCTTTGAATTAAAGGACACCTGTTTAAATCTGGTTCTACTTAGTATTAAACTAAGTATAATTTTCATGTTCCAACTTCCCAGTGTGGCCTTCATACAGAGGGATTTCACTGTAATCAACATTCAATGTGTATAAAAGGCAAACCGTATGAGACCAAAAAAACTGAGTAACAAAGGTGTTATAAAGTTTTTGCCTATGCTATAGAAACTCTCCTTTCTGTTTGGAAAGTCCTCTGAATCTGGGTCCAACGTATATCAAATAGCTCCTGCATGATTGAGCAATAGCAGATCACTTACTATAATACAGCAAACATTCATTTTCTGTGGACACATCAAGTAGAAATGGAACCTTTTGCACCCATGAAACACCAACAAGTCTATTTTTGGCGTCTTCTTGATGCGTTCACATACGCAAGGTACTAATTGACTGTGTGACGTATCCCATGAGTGTGAGAGCTCACGGCTACAAGACACAGTAGAGTGAGAGTTAAGCCAGTGAGTGCTGGCTGACCTGAGTCGTTCGGCCATCTCCTCTGAGCCCCAGCGAGGACTGTAGGGGTAGTCTGTCACCACGCTCTGACACGGGAGCCCGTCCATACAGTGGTACACTGAGCGGAGAACCAGGCCGGGCTGCCCCTTTGGGAACTCGTCCGTCAACTCCACTGCATTGAGACAGAGCATGGGGAATAATGTCTTTTGGAAATTATTACACACCCATAACATCACAACAGCAAAAACTGCACAACAGGCACAAACAGTTAAAAGTCACTTATACGTAGCTTCATGCACAAGAGCACATATCATACATAGTTCTATCATTTCTCAAATGCTGGCGGCATGTCTTACACACTAGGAGAACCATAGATCATACAGTATGGGAGAACTCACAGAGAGCAACGAAGGCAAATCCTTGCTGTTCAAAAAGAAAAGCCACCTTCTTGAATCCCTCCGTGTCGTATTCGACCACAGAGCGCCCCATCATGCTGAGCAGTGCGGCCACGTACTCTTTCCTCCGTACGTAGCTCTGGATGATGTAGTCCACCCTCTCGTTCAGCAGCTTGTGGACGAGGGGGACGTAGTCCATGAGACACGCCCCGTGGCCCCCTCCCCAGGGGGGCAATCGGAGGGACCCCACTCCCCCTACCACTCTGTGGACAACCAGTGAGTGTGTATGTGTATGCACGTGTCCAATAAGAGACGGCCGAAAATGTGTTTTTCAGAATTCTGATAATAGGGTTATACAGCCCAAAAAATAACATGTCCCCTTGAATGCAGACAACTTACGTTAAGTAAGAGAGTTTTAACATTCTGAAACTATAGTACTCACTGCGAGTTGCTGACCTTTCAACTCTAGGAGAGAGCACAAGATGAGGCACGACTTTTGAGGCGTTCGGAGGATGGAATGTTACCAGGAGGGCTGCAGTGTCGGGGCCCGGGTTATCCTGGGAGTTGAGAAATAATCAGCACATCTCTAAATTCGGAGCACTTTTCTACTTGCTTACCTTGGTGAGGTAAGGAGGAATAGCAGAGAAATCCACAGGCAGACGGATGAAGAATCTCGCTAGAGGTTCAGTCACATTCTGCAAAAACCACAATACACACATATCTATATCTGGTAAGGACCATCAAGTAAACACACAACACAAGCAAAAAAAGAGGTGGTTCGGTACGTTATGGTACTACGAGTAGTCGTGTGTATGCTCCTGCAAGAACATGGCACACAATAGGTGGTGGAAACAGCCCCCCACCCCTTTAAAACAGGGCATTTTTGAGATGATTATACAGCTGCCCTCTTGATGTACACCAGCTCATGCATGATGAGGCTGACCTCCTCCGGTTTGGAGCAGTGGACGTCGACGTCAGCGTACTTGCTACTCTGCAGGAGACTCTGGAGTTCAAAGTGCAGTCTGTGTGACTGTGAGAGGAGGGCCTTGTGGTGCTCTCTGTACTGGACCAGCAGACCTCCCAGCAGCCGACTCAGACACTCTCCGTTTCTCACGCTCCACTCTGAAAACACCTTCATGTGTTCGTACAAAGTGGGGGAAAACAGTGGCAAACTGTTGTTATTCGGTAAATAGCAAATAGGATTTGTAGTCGTAAACCTTAAGGGATAAAACCAAAAAAACTTGCAAAGTCCTCTAAAGGTGCACACTGCTATATATGCATAGTACAACTGCACACAAGTGGGTGGAGCTTGGTATAACTATTATGACATGGTGAATGAAAAGAGTATGTATATACCTCCAGTTGATCGATGTTGGGTTCAAATTCTATGATGTCATCTTCTGAGCTGAATACGATGTCCGGAGGGAATCCAGGGTGGGTGCGGTCAAAAATAACTTCCCCTATGAGGAAAACCCTGCTCGTTACCACTTTCACTCACACACACACACAGATGCTCGCTCACAGTCCAGTTCCACTCCACAGTATGGGATCCCGAGTATGAACCTGTCACAGTCTCCACTGTCGTCAGGATCCAGAGGACCGCTGCAAATCACACCGTACATATACCAGACGCGTTACAGGGAACACACAACGTAGGTATTGCTTCTACAAACCTAGACTTCGGTCTCTTGATCTCTAGAAATTCCACCCTGTGCGTTCAGCTCCTTGTTAGTGAGACACTGCTCGAGAAAGGGGAGCAGAGCTGGGTGTATTCTAGCACACGAATCTCTCGTCACAACGCTCATCTCGGTCCAGTCTTCTCTAAATAGTGCACACCTGGAGCGCACTATTTAGAACGCAGCCACGCCTCCCTTCTTCTTCTCCATGCGGATCAGCTGGAGAGCGTGCAGGCCGGCACTGAGCCAGGCACTGCACAAGAGAGCTAGCTCCATAAGACTTCCCCGAAGAGTAGTTGCCGACAACAGACCAATCACCAAGGTTCAAACCATCATCATAAAGCCTACCTCAAAGGTATACTAGCAAGCTACAGTTCTTTGTAAACAGCTCTAGCTGCACGTGCACTGTACCTCATCCAGCATCCGGCGCTCCAGAGACAAGCTGCAGAGAGTTTCTCTGAGCTACGACTGAGGGGAGATGTGGTGGATGCTCTGGGCAACATTGGTCTCAGCCAACCCACTGTCACACAGGTAGAAGGAGGCTCTTAGAACCACGCGAGTGAATCGTTTCATATTCTCTCTTTAGATGCTCACAATCCCCCATATTTTGAAGGGAAGAAATGTACTCTGTGCTGCAGAGACAGGTATGATGAATAGCAGTGTTGTCTGTTGTGAGCTGCTTTGTGCGTAGATACTATACACTATTTAGTATATATGGTTTAGGATCTGGCAAGACGCTGGCCTACCTTGCCCCTGTAATCAGTGAGTTAAGGAGAGAAGAGGCAGAGGAGGGTGTGGTCCCACGCCTCAGGAGACCGCGAGCACTGGTCGTGCTACCCTCCAGAGACCTAGCCTCGCAAGTCCTGGTCAGTCTCAGTCTGTTCGAAATCTCTCAATCATACACCATCTCTAATTCCAGAATAGAGTACAGTATGTTTCCTTACTTCAGGAGTTAAGTTAACAGGTGTCCTTATTAGAGAGCTGTCCTCATTTCAGAAATTGCTCAGAGAGAGGTTCCACTTTACTGTTTCTATGAAGTGTGTGAAATGATTGCTATATTATACTGAAAATCTCATCCATCGTTATTGCACTCAGGCGGTTGCCAAGTCCCTGTGCCACGTGGCCAGGTTTAGAGCCGTTGGACTCATCCGAGGTGGCAAAAAGGTCAGAAACTCTAGTGAAGAGACTAACACCGATTTCCCTGCGGTTTGTCAATAATTTTCAACAGCGCAATATCCGCAACTCCCTGCTGAGTCCGGTGGACCTGGCAGTAACTACGCCTGACGCTCTCCTCCAGTTCAGGAGACAAGGTTGGGGGCTCTCTGTATAATTATAGCAGAGACCACGTTTTTAAACTTCATACCTTAATGCTACTGCCGAGGAAAAGGAACTATGTAGGTCTGTGTGATAAATCCCCATGTGTGTCTCTCCAGAGCAGATCCAACTGAGTGACGTGAGGTTTCTAGTGGTGGATGAAGCAGACACATTGTTTGATCGCTCATTTCAAGAGGCAACCACCAGCATCATCAGAACTATAAAGGTTGGTAGGTCAGTGCATTCCCATGTACTTGGTGTATATTCTTCGCACCTCAAACTTGCTTACGGTAGCACATACTATGGTAGTTGACATGCTGAAGTCTTTCTGTCTATAGTGATTGCATTCCCCTTGGTAGAGTGTAAGAAATTGTTTCTTTAAAAGTACGGAAGTTTCTTTGTCTCAATCTCTACAGGCCTCGACCACCAAGCCTCTGTCTGGGGCAGACCAGCAACCTGACAGAGGAGGGGCCCAGGTGATAGCAGTTGCAGCCACTCTCTCCACTCACCTGATGGAGAGCCTCCAGTCACTAGTACCTGTGAGTAACACACTAACTGTCAAAATAGGGAGAGGTTTGCTGTACGTATGTGTTTCGTGATTTTCGTGCAGTCGGTGAGCGTGGTGACTACAAAGAGCCTGCACAAGATCTTACCACACATCGAGCAGCGTTTCCATAAAGTGACTCAGACTGAAAAAGCAGGTGAGGACAATAAACAGTACAAAACGCGGGACTATTTTGCCTTGCTTCACTGCAACTCTTTTCTCTTTTCTCGTTCAATCACAGATAAGCTGCTGAGTATAATTCGTGAGTGCCCCGGTGATGTGTTCATGGTGTTCTGTAACACTGTTTCCTCGTGCGACTGGACGTCTCATTTCCTTCAGACCAACAGAACACCAGTCACCACACTACACGCCGGATTCCGTGCATCAGTGCGGTTCTATCACTCACTGCATGGACCAAATCCTGTTTGAAGTTTCACTTGACTTTCTGTTGCATGCAAAAGGCTCTTGTTGGCATATAGTTCTGCCTCTGCACAGTGTGAATATTTGTTTGAGGCATAACCATTAGAATTTGATCCACCCACTCACGGACATTTACACTGCAGTTGCATGAGACTTGCCGCATTCATTCATAATGCCATTTGTTTAGGATTCTTAAATGACTGTATATTTGTGTACTTGTGTTTCTGTAGAGTCGGAAGGATTTGATACGGCCATTCAGCGAGGGAGAGACAAGAGTACTGGTGTGCACTGACCTAGCCTCGAGGGGCATTCACCATGAAAAGGTCAGTACGATGTCACAGAGGCCGTCAAAATTCACATTGCCTAGTTAGTGGATCAGAAAGAGTTGTCCTGGGTGTAGCTGTGTTGTTTGCCTCTGCCTTTGTGCTGTGAGCTTGCTGTTGTATACATTGACCCTCTGCTGGTCCCTACAGGTGACCCACGTCATCCTATTTGATTTCCCGCACACCATGGTAGACTATCTTCACCGAGTGGGCAGGACCGGGAGGGTTGGATCAGCCAATGCCAACTGCAGAGCCTCAATCCTCATGACACATCGTCAGGATGTCAAAACTGCCTGGCAGATCAAGGCAGGCGTACTGGAACCCCTCTAATTAAGACCTTAATGGGACAGAATAAACTGCCCATATTTAGAGATGTGTCCTTACTTTAGGGATACATTGTTCTTTGGAAAAGTAACCACGTCCTTATTGCATGGGGTAAATCACATGATTGTAAGAAACTGTTTAGGAAAAGAAATGATGTGCTTTTAGAGACTTGTGTTCATTTTTTGGTTGGTGCCCTTAGAGAGATGTTCCACTGTGTTTGAAGATTGACCATTGTATACCATGTTGATGCTGTGTGTAGGATGCAGCAGAGAAAAGAGAGGCCATCATGAACCAAAAGATGAACAAACGCTTGCAGTCATTATCATGAGCTCACGCACAGAAATCAGTCACACAGCCATCATATTATTCTGTCAATCACTGTACCTTCCATACAACAAGTCATAAAATCAGTGAAGGGAGCAATTGTGGGGAAAGTGAGAAGTGAGTGGTGAGGGGCAGTCGACATAAAGACCAATACCATCTGGACGTTCTTGGCTATCTGCTTGCTTCTTCCGCTTCCTATAAAACAGATGATCCGTAATGTGTGAGGTGGGGGTGTGTGGCACTCACTCTAAGGGCGGCTGTCTCCCTGCGGAGCTCTCTGACGACAGCAGCCAGAGCCTCTGGGTTGACTCCAGCCTCCAGAAGTTGGACACACACCTTCAGAGTCTCCTCATCCAGACCTGTGTTCAAAAGGTCTGATATCTCCTTCACAGCTGCAGCCATAAGACTCGGTTACTAATGGCTTTCAGTGCTAGTTGTTTCACTTACTCTTCATGGCGTCTCGAGCCTCGGCAATTCTGTGTGTCGACGGACCGGCACCTTCCTTGCTGGCGGCCATTTTTACGATCGGGGTTGACCAATGAGATTGCCGTATTCGTCCAAGACGCGGGAATCACGTGTGTGTAGTCGACAAGCCGATGCTGCCTCTTGGCTTGCTTTTCTGGCTCTAGGATGGCTCAGGAGCTAGCCAGCCAGAGGTTTTGTACTCTCACTCACTACGTTCAGGTAAAAATCTTGCACATGCTCTAAATATTGTGAACAGACCTCTCTCTCTCTCTCTAGTTGAGTGTTGACTCGGTCCTTGTGCTCCACGTACACACTCTCCCGGAGAACGAGGACGGAGCTGTGTGCGCCGGGCCTCCAGATGGATCGTCAGTCACGGTGGGACTCCCTCCTCCTTTCTCCTGGCTGACTGAGAGACACATGCAAGTATGAACTCTGCAAATTTAATATGCTTGAAGACTTGAGCTAAGTGCATTGTGTGTTCGTGTAGGAGTTGCTAGTGATGGTGCATGAGGTTGTGCATGAGAAGGCAGTGAGGGGGCTTTCTGCTGAGCCACCCCCTACCCCAGCTGCTGGCAAGAGGAGTGGAGCAGCTGGAACTCCATCTGACCTCCAGCTCAAGAGAGGTCAGATATATACTCACAGTCAAACCAACTCTTTCCCACTATGTCATCTTTGCCTTAGTTTTACGTATTTAGACCGTCTAAGAAAGGTGAGCAAATGCAACACTCCTCTTTATGTGATGCTCCCTGGAATCATGTGCATTGTCTGTCAAATTTGGCCGAGTTGCCGGATGAAAATTGGCGCGATTTAGTGGCTCGCTTCGTTCTACAATCAATGTGAACTGCTGTGTCCAGGGACGAATGTGAGGGCTCTGTTTCACTTCAAGCCAAACTGTGCCACTCAGCACATTGTCCTTCCCTCCGACGTGAGTTGCCCTCTGTGAGCATTCCTGCACTCAGTGGTTCCCTCCCCCACTTGCAGCCTGCCTTGTCTCCACTCCTGCCTGCCACTGAGACCTTTGTCAATGACCGAAGTAGACTGGTGTTCGAGAGCTCTGGATTCTCAACCTTTTCAGGTAGTGGTGCATGCAGAGAAAACACACAGAGTAACAAAATACTTACCTTTGTGGTCCCCCCATAATAGGCGAGTGGGAAACATGACCAGATATCTATTAGTCCATAGCGAGTGTGAAGACAAAGACACTGCAATTGCAGTTCCAAACAGGCTTGTACACTTGGCTCTACCCCATTAACAAATGCCCCCTATTAACAAAGTGTGTCTTACAAGTACATCGTCCACTACGCAGTGCACTACATACCTCAGCATGGAGAATAAATGTAGTATGTGTGTGTGTGGTGGTGTTGCAGGTGGCGGGTACCGACCATTCCGAGCGGTCCAGGACTCCCTCCACGTGTTTGTCGACCAGTACGAGCCTACCAGTCATCACGGTGTCATCAAGGTACAACAATAATGTGTACTTACTTTGTTCTATCCTTCATTTAATGTATTTACAGTATATATTATATAGCAGGAACCTTTTTCAAGGAAATATTTTTTTGCGTATTGATGTTCTTGCAATACACCACAAAAATTCAACAACTATAATACCTACAAATTTGCAAAAAAATTTTCTCCCTTGAAAGTTCTCAACTCCCGTACAATGCCATTTTAAAAAAATGAAACATTGATGATGCAGAGGATAGTATTAACACGTTTTTCCTGTAATGACGTGGAGATGTTTCAGTTTATGTATCTTTTTGCGTGTGTATGTGTGTATAGATAATGATGCTGCTGGACCCAGGTCGTAAGCAGTCACTGGATGCTCTGACTTACTTCCTGCCGAACCGCAAGAGAGAGAGTAGCAGCAGTGGGGAGGGAGAGGGAGAGGGCCTGCTGGCCGACCTGCCAGTGGAGGGTCTGAAGAGGAGACACCGGGGAGGCGGAGGAGGGAGAAGAGGGAGAGGGAGAGGGAAATCAACAACTAGAGGGAAGTCTGGCAACAAGAATAAGTGAGTCTAATTGTGACCCTAAAGATTCCCACTAAGTCACTCTTTGGTTTTACCACAATGGCAAAAAATTTGCTTTCTTACAGCTCTTTCAAAAGTTAAATATTGGGTCATGTTTTGTGTGTTTGTGTGTTTGTTTCTGTGTCTTGTAGAACAACCTCCAGGGCAGGGTTGAGAGGGACGAGATCTGTGTGTGGGTCACATCTCCAGCCGACCATCGTCCAGTCCCTGGCTGATGCCAAACTCACCACTCGTTCCTCCACAACCCCCCGTCTGTCTAAATCACCACCACAGCTGCCGGGTGGGAGACAGAGGAAATCTAGCTCTGACATTGACGAGCTGTTTGGCATGGGTCCTTGCTGGCTCTCAGATAATGAAGAGGAAGAGGAGGAGAAAGAAACGCAGAGTAAGGACCCTGTGGATAGTTCAGCGACCAGCACTGGTGACAGAGGGAGCCTTTCTCTATCTGACACGACTCTATGTGGAGTGGCGAATGGCGACAATTTCACTGGTGGAATTGATGTTCCTCCTGGCTCCCCAATAGCCTGCCCCTCCAGCCCGGCGAAGTCGTCCCGCATGTCCTTCTCGGACCCGAAGAGAAGAGGAAACGAGGTGGAAACGGAAAGAAGAAGAGATGACGGTGAAATTAAGGGGCAGGGGGAGGAAATGGCGGCCGGTGACAGCTACCGTGGTGAAGGTGCAGCTGAGGATCGAGTTCAGCGGGAGATTTCTCCAGACCTCTGGTCTCTGGACAGTGGCTCTCAGCCTCTGGATGACATCACCAACAGCATGCTCGGGACCTCTACTGCCTCTCCTCCTCCTCACGGACAGAGGAAGGCCTTCTCACCAACTTCTTCACAGCAAGACTGCCTCAGAGGTGGAGCTCCTGGAGATGAAACAGGTATTATGCTATAGAGCAGAAGGGTTCAGTAGAACTTACGCTCAATTTGTGGGGTGTTATTTTCACAAAAATATTCATTGACCATGCAGTCTCAAGTTTTTCAGTTAGTGTATGATGTCCCACTGCAGGAGAATGGGCGGTGATAGTGATAGACAGTGATGATGAGGAGGCAGGTGAGGTGAGGTCTGCCAGTAGCCCGGGGTCACAGGGGATCAAGGCACAAGAGAAGAGAAAGAGAAATAAGAGAAAAGTTGTCTGCCCAGAAATCCTCTTCCGTGGAGCCAAGTAAGTTTCAAGCTCAAAGAGCTACTGTAGGAGGGTTCGAAGCACATCCACCAGCTGTGGAAAGTGTGCAGTGGGTCCTATAGTTTTAGACTCTCTCTCTCTCTCCCTTGTTATCACAGAGAGCTGAGGGACATCCCTGAAAGGAACGTGTCTCGCTGGCTGGCTCAGCAGAAACAACTGATGGTGGAAATATTCCAGCGAAGAGTCTACAGCCGCAGACACGAGAGTTTCATCAGTGGAACCAGGGGAAGAGGTGTTTTGCTGTTTTATATATACATGTAGCTGGCCTGAAAATTTGTAAAGTTATAAAACTTCTTCTCTGGGCGAATCTTTTTTGTTACTATTTTCCCCTCAAAGGTGCCCTTCTCTATGTTAGTAGAACTAAGAGCCTCGAGGTTTATCATGATTGCTGTCTTAACATACTATCTGTCACATTGTGTGTTTCTCTTGCTCCCAACTTCAGCTGTTCTCCTGCACCAGATCAGCCACCACTTGTTCACGAAGGGACAAGGAGATGCCATCACTTCCGGGCTCATGAACGCCTTCTGCTACAAGAACATGAATGTAAAATGTTTCTGCAGTGTGATAATTATTAGTTTGTCCCTATTTTGATAACTCCAGTTGTTTTCCTATGTGATGAGTGTTCTGTACCCTGAATCTCTGATAAGACTCATAATGGACTACTATTCCATCTCATTTGAAGAGGTCAGTGTTCAATATCTGCTACGTTCTCGAAAATGGTTACTGTTCTCATCTCATGATCGATATTCAAGGCTGAAAGAAAGATGATGGGGTTGGGTGAAGTCCTGGAGATGGACTCGGATGTTTAAGACTTCTCCTCCATACATTTCTTATCCAATCGTTATATCACATCATCAGTCGTATTTCATAAACTTCGTTGAGTTGCGTATCTTGTCATCGGCGGCATGCATGCGCAGGAGCCCAAGTGGGAGGAGGGGGCGGAGCCGAGCGCTCTGAAAAGTGGGGCCCTACAGAGTTTTCCCTGGGTTTTCTGCCAGCATGGGACGTAGATCTTGCTCTTCCTGACGCGGTGAGAGTGGGGGAGATGAGCGTGTTTCGCGGGAGCATCTCCGAGTACCCCGGGGTCATCGTGGACCACTTCGTCCCGGCCAACTGCGAGAGAGGCCGCTTCTTCTTCCTCTCACACTGCCACAGAGGTCTGTGTGTGTGTGGGTCTCTGGCTCACCTTGCAGCTGGACTACCAGCTGCCTGCTGCGTCTCACTCCACTATTGCTGTTCATGCTGTATGCACACATTATGCATGGAGTATGCTCTAGGTATATAGCTCAGTCGTGCTTAGAACTATCCCGAATTTGTCTAACATATCTCCACCACACGTCCTTCCCATGCAGATCACATGACAGGCCTAGGCTCACCAAACATTGTGGCTGCTCTCCAGAAATGGTGAGGGGACTCCTTCCTTCGAAACCAAAAACTGTAGCTACACACATGCGCGTGTGCACACACAGGAAGACAAATCTGCTGTGTTCAGAGGTGACGCAGTCCCTGCTGCTGAAGGACCCGGAGTTCACTGGACTGGCCCCATATCTCAGAGCCCTGCCCATGGAAGAACCTATTGTCATGAGTCTTGAGGCCTCCGGTGCTCACGAGGTATGTATACATAGCATGGACTACCAGCTAAATCCTGCAGTTTGGGGAATTGTGGAAACACTTAGTACATGTGTCTGCTGTTGATCGATCCGTCCTTGCAGAAGCTGAGTTTCACAGTCACCCTGCTCCCTGCTGGACACTGCCCTGGCTCCTCCATGTAAGGTGCAGTGCATAGACATGGCAGATATGTCGGACAGAAACTGTTTTGTGTAACTGGAGCTGTGAAATCTCTTATGTGTGTGATCTACTGACGTTATTGTATGTTGCTTAATTTTTCAAAAGAGATTTTGTTGCATTCTGTATCAAGTATGTATGCATGGTTGTTCTATGGTAAGCAAAAGCAAGCATTACAACAGTATGTGTCATCAACGATGTTGAGCCAAAGCAGAGGCAAACAACACAACTACACCAAGGGCAACTCTTTTTTCCGGAATTCAATTGGACAATATTTTTAATGACAACCCGTTTTTCACTGTAGGTTCTTCTTCCAGGGAAACCATGGGAATGTTCTGTACACAGGTAAGGCTATACCATGATCCCTACCAACGCGGGAGAGAGACTTCTTTGTATAGGAGATTTCAGATTGACACTTGAAGAAACTAAGCGTTTGCGTCCCTTGCACTGTGGAGGAAGGTATATTCACAAGAAGTACCGTGTGATCCTTACAGCAATTCTTCTATCTATCTAGTTTACTGGAGATCTCAACACTATATGTGGACACCACCTTCTGCCATCCCATTGCCACTGAAATACCATCACGGGTATGCATAGTATGTACATAATATGATATTAGTAGATTTGTCTTACATTCGCTCAAAGGATACTTCCAGAGATATTATCCTGAAGCTCGTAGAGAGGTTAGTTTTTAGTAAACTTTTTAAGAGCTTCTTGACTAGAGAATCTGGCATCCCAACTTTTGAGAGCAGATGGCTGGCCAAGGACCCCACCAATGTGGTTCATCTGCAGTGTGCCTTTTTTGGCTACGAACACATCTTCATGGGCATCCACAAGAAGTTCAAGACTAAAGTACACATTATTACAGTCCAGAACTGACCTTGTGATGTATTATAACGCTGTGTCTGCGCGTGTATAGATTCACATCGCCCCGTGGAAGATGAACGCCTACAGAGAGATTTCCGCTGTGACTGATTGTCTGACTACGAACGGAGACTCCACTAATATCCACACCTGTACCTACAAGGTGTGCCCTTACATAGTATTCCTTATGTTTTTGTTTATGGGGGCATGGTAATGCGTATGAAGGTGGTTTACACTGGCCCTCTCTCCGATTATAATATACGCTGCCTATAGAAGGGGCAAAATGAGAAGAAAGAGAAGTCAGGACTGCCGTGTGGCTCGTGCCAAAGAAACGGAGCTCCTCCGAATGTGCTGAGAATCAAACCATCCACACAATGGTTCCTCTTCAATAAGAAATCAACCACCCATCCTTGTGTGTAAGTCAGAGCCTCCCTTGCTCGCCGAGTTTCACTCACAGTTGGTGTTGTACAGGTTTCTGCAGCAGTCAAACAAGTTCAGAGTCATTCATTCCATGCACGCCAGCTTTAGGGAGCTGAGAGATTTCATCACCTACGTCAGGCCTCGTAGAATTGTTCCCTGCGTCATTCCCTTTGGAGATGCCTCTCTCTCCGACGTCTGTGCAAGGTACATATGTATGTACACACTACTATGTTGTGAAACCTCTGAATAAGGGGCACCTTGGGGGCATTGAAAGCTTCCTTTATTCAGAGGTGTCCCTGATTCAGAGAGATATAATTTCATAGCCATGTCTCTTAGAGGTGTTAATTCTTTGGGTTAACTGTGTTCAGTGTTCCCTGTACTGAAAGTTTGCCACTGAATGAACTCAGGCTCAAGGGACTTCTGCCTCAGACCGAAGTTGGTAGCGGCTGTGTCGAGTCAGAAGAGCAGCGAAAGAGATTGAAGAGAAGTCACTCCCAGAAAAGCCGGATGAAGATGCTGCTGTGGCTGCTGAGAGCAGCGAGGATAGCTGGTCGACGGGTGACGAGTCCATCGACGAGTTCACAAGCACAGGGGAGCCCTCGTCGTCAGTGGAAGCAGAGAAGACAGTTTTCACACACACTCAGAGCCACAGCACTCGTGTCTCTCTACCGTCACTGCTAGGAATCGAGGACACGACTTCATCTCCACCTCCCAGTGCAGACAGCAGTGTAACACTGGGGGACGTTAGTCCAGTCACCCATAGATCTCTCCCTCTCACCTAGCCTCGAGTCGGTCGTCTCCTCACTGTCCTCCGTGAAAGGTGCCACTATTAGAGATGCCGTCTCTAGTAGCCAATCAACCATCTTACCGTCACACGCTTTTACAAACTAACTTGCCGGAAATAGGGGACAAGAAATCTAATTCTCACAATGTGGGAAACGAGTTTGGTTGTGATGGGGAAGGGAATAGCTCACTGTGTGAAGTTGGCACGCCTCATTCAAAGAGGGTGCGGCTGTCTGAAGAGAGGTCCCCCGTGTCCCGCCAGCTGTTTACTGGCACAGCAGCAGACTGTGAGCAAGTGGCAAAGGAAGAAAAAGATGACAAAGACAAAGGAGGTGAAGAAGATGAGGAAGAAGAAACGTGAAGAAGAAGAGAGCATAGAAGGGGAAGAGAAATCGCCTCCAAACAGCCCTCTGCTCATTGATCTAACAGAAGATGAAGAAGATATTACGCTGGTTCTCTCTGAACCCCCTGAACTAATAGACCTGACCGACGACCGCCTCACACCTCCACCTCCTCAAGAACCTCTCAGTAAGAGAGAGACACACTCACTTCCTACCTCCACTGGTAAGGGCGGCCACCACGCGCCAAACGTGGTTCACGGCGTTCGTCTCTCCTCGCCGGTTGTTTTAGAACTGAGTGACTCTCAGACCAGCGGGAACACGTCGTCGGGGTGTAGTGTCCGCAGCAAGAGGTCCGTGTCTGTTGAATCCACTCACAGAGCTCTAGGTTCCCCCAACTGTCTTCCCCCAACCCCAGGCAGGGAAAATGTACACGCCATCCTCCAGAGACCTGACTTTCCTTGAGATGGAGAGAAGAGTATCATTTTTTGTTTTAACCACTGTATTATACACCGTTTTACTTACATTTTAAAGGGTTGTGTAAATTTGTATATAAGAAGATTTTTAATACCTTTCTGTACAGATTTTGTGTCATACATTGAATTAAGGATACAGGTTACAGTGGATCCCTGTGGTGATAAGCTACTTTGTTATAATAGATCATCAAAGTCATGGTCATCATCGTCATCATCATCATGGTCATCATAATCATTGTCATCGTGATCATCGTGGTCATTGTGATCATCATGATCATTAGAATCATGTGAGTCGTGATCATCATCATTACTGTGTGAATCATGGTCATCATCATCGTCATGAGAATCATGTGAGTCGTCACTATCATCATCTGTATGATCTGAATCATCACTGTCGTCTGAATCATCACTATCGTCTGAATCATCATCATCCGAATCATCACTATCGTCTGAATCATCACTGTCGTCTGAATCATCACTATCGTCTGAATCATCATCATCCGAATCATCACTATCGTCTGAATCATCACTGTCGTCTGAATCATCATCATCCGAATCATCACTGTCGTCTGAATCATCACTGTCGTCTGAATCATCATCATCCGAATCATCACTGTCGTCTGAATCATCACTATCGTCTGAATCATCATCATCCGAATCATCACTATCGTCTGAATCATCACTGTCGTCTGAATCATCACTGTCGTCTGAATCATCATCATCCGAATCATCACTATCGTCTGAATCATCACTGTCGTCTGAATCATCATCATCCGAATCATCACTATCGTCTGAATCATCACTATCATCTGAATCATCATCATCCGAATCATCACTATCATGTTCACTGCTGTCATCATCATCACTGTCACTGTGGCTGTGGCTCTCAGTATGGCTGCTGTGTCCACTAGAACTAGTATGGCTCCCACTGTGACTAGTTTGGTTCTCGGTCTTACTAGTATAGCTCCCACTGTGACTAGTTAGGCTTCCACTGTGACTAGTCCGACTTCCACTGTGACTGGTGTGGCTTCCACTGTGACTAGTCCGACTTCCACTGTGACTGGTGTGACTTCCAGTGTGGCTCACACCACTGCCACTGTGGCTAGCAAGGCTTCCAATGTGGCTGGGGTGGCTTCCACTGTGACTAGTGTGGCTCTCACTGTGACTGGTGTGGCTTCCACTGTGACTAGTGTGACTTCCACTGTGACTGGTGTGACTTCCAGTGTGGCTCACATCACTGCCACTGTGGCTAGCAAGGCTTCCAATGTGGCTGGGGTGGCTTCCAATATTACTCTCACTACGACTGGCAAAGCTTTCACCATTGCTGCTATGACCACTTCCATCTTTATCAGAATGATGCTCTTTCTCCTCATAGTCTCCTTTCTTCTCCCCTTCTGCAGTTATACGTCCAACTCAATCTTTGTTCAAACAAATCAAATCAGCACCTACCAGAACTTGAATGGCTGCCTTTACTTTCGTGTTTAGGGCCGTCTTCATTTCCACTGCTCCTGTTGCTTTCTCTTCCTCCTTCCTCTTCTCTCCCCCCATGTCCACCTGACTTCCCCCCACGTCTACCACCCCCACCCCCTCCTCCTCCTCTTCCCCCGTGTCCTCCTGATTTCCCCCGACTGCCACCTCTAGCACCAACACCACCCCTTCTACCCTCTCCCCTCCTCCCACCTCTTCCTCTTTCTGTTCTCCCACCTCCTCTACCACCTTTCGCTCTCCCTTTATCTCGGAGTTTCTTTGGTTTGTCAGTTCCTAGTTTTGGTATCATTTGTTTCTCTGGTCTGGCCGCTGGTGCTCCTGGATTCTGCTTCATTCCTAACCCTGCACCAGCTTTTTCTCGCTTTCTTGCCTTGTCCTGTGCCCCTTGTTTCATTTTGCCTTTTCCTTTAGGCCTAGTGTCTCCTGCAGTTGTTTGTTCTCCAGTCTTTTTCTTGTCAGACTTTGTTTCTTTTGTCTTTTTCTTACCAGACGTGTCTCTTTCCCCTGACTTCACCCTCTTTGTTTTGGCCGCATTGGCTTTGTCTTCTTCTCCAGTTTTTTCTTTCCTTGATTTCCCCTCTCTTTTCTCAGATTTCTTTCCTTCTTTCTTTGATTTTTTTCCCAACTCCTTTCCTCTATTCTCTCTTTCCCCAGACACACTCTCATTTTCCTTCTTAGTTTTCTTCTCCTTTGAGCTCTTTTCTCCTTTCTTGGACCTCTTATCTTTCTTCTTGGATTTTTCATCTGTTTTTCCTACTCTCTTCTCTCTTTCCCGAGATCTTTCTTCTCTCTTATTTTGCTTCTCTTTTGTCTTCTGCTTTTCAGGTTTTCCTCCCTCTTTTCCTTGTTTTTCTTCCCTCTGTGTACCCATCCTTTTCTTCATCTTACCAACGTTGGCCTTCTTACTCTTCCCCTTTTCATTCCCACCCTTTGCTTTGGAGGGTTTTAGGTGTGCTGGCTTTATACCCATCAGGTGATTGATTTTTTCCTTTGGAGCCAGTTTTTGTGTTAGGCCTAGATTCAGTTGTACCTGTGTAATACACAATTTTTATAAGACCTTTTATCCTATTGCTATCGACGCTCACCATATCTTCACTGCTTGAGGTGTAGTCAAAGTCCTGATTTTCAGTGTCAGAAGAAGAGGAAACAACTGCATGCAAGAAAATCAGAATGTAATTGTGTCTGCCTTAATACAATTTTTACCAATGACTCTTGGTGGTAGTGCAGGCCCCTTGCTGTTAGGCATCTGACCCTCTTCCATCTTCTTGAGAGCTTCGTCAAATGTGGCATTCTCTTGTAGCATCATCCCCTTCATTGCCAGGAGAGCTATAGAAATTGTAAGCTGATGATGGAACACTTTGTTTTATAGTTCTGGGCTACCTGCTTGCTTTTGGGCTTTGAGTCTCTCTTGTTTCCTTGCCGCTTTCTTTTTCAGCCGTGCCCGAGCCTTGGCCCGGCGGCGCCACGAGCAGAAAGAGATGACACACGGCAGGATGGGGAGGTAAAAAAAGAAACAGGCACCCAAGAGGAACTGCAGTGTGGCACTTCTCTGCTTTCTGAATGAAAAGCAACATTCACAAAATCATCAACACAGTAGCTAATTTCCATGGTACAAATGAAAGGGGTTTTGGATAGAAAGCCCTGTATAGTGGCTGACGTACACGCGGGTGTGTTCCTCGCTGGCAGTACCAAGAAGCATTGCAGCTATGTCGACGTAGCGTCCGTCACTTGTCCGACAGCAACAAAACATACAGAGCATCTTCGTCATGCCGAGCATCAGGACCAGCAGTGCCACGGTGAAGGTGCAGGTGTAGGGGTCCTTGAAGGAGTCGGTGAACCAGCAGTGGTAGCACGGGTAGACCACCACCACATTGGGTCGGTAGAATATGTCCAGATACTGACTTCGGCAGTCCGAATTGTCTTCTGGTGGCGAATTACACTGCACAACGAAAGTAGAACATGTGCTATGGTGTTTTGAATCCAACTCTGCTTACAGTGCAGTTGCATTGCCCATCAGAGCAGTAGATGCATGTGTCCAATGCTTTGAAGTGGACGGGCTTTGCATCCAGTATGATTCCATTTGAATCATACAGCACCACTGTTTCACGTAATGCAAAAGGTAGTTCAGTATTCTGCGCAGTTGTAGCTCTTGAAGATGAGTGTATTACCAGTGCAGTTGTGGTCGAGGTCGGTGTTGAGCCCTGCTGATATCTCCCACTCAAACAGGGCCTGCTGCCTGGGGTCCAGACTCTTTGTCTGCTGGGACACACGCACTATTCCTTCACTGCACTCGTCCACCCCCACCTGAAAAACACAGAACACTATTAAGGTGTCAGAGAGGTAGAGTGAGTCACGCACTGAAAAGTCTCCAGTAATGTAGCCAGTGTTTTGAACAGTCACAGTCAGAACTCCGCCCCCATTTGCAACCGTAATGTCCTCCATCACTGTCTCCACAATACGACCGTAGGTCCTGCAAAAGGTTGTGTGCACCATAGTGCAGGTCTGCCGCTCACAATACACGTCAATAATATTGGGAAATATTTATATACCTGCTTTCTATGAAGGAAACCGAGTCTGCTTCAAATTCCAAGGTGACGAGACTCTGGTGTGTGAACTTGCTGGTCATGTCATAAGAAAGGTAAGGTTTCGTCCCTCCGCTTTCATCTGACATGAACAGCCCTTTCACTTTCCCATAGAAAGTGGGGTAATAGGGAGATTTCCGTCCTGCCCTTTCATACACCTCTCTTGATTGGTGGTACAACCAGGCTGGAGTCCAAGTGTCAAAGCACCTGTGTACATACATATACAACGATAAATTCAAATCACAGCAAGAGTCTTCCTTACGAGTATTTTTGTCGGTAGCACCGGTTTTCTTGCGTCTCAAATGCCAATGTTCCAGCTCCCAGCATGCGGCAGTGTGACTCTGTGTCATCGAACATGTGACGAGGGACCATGAGATACTTCTCAGGGCTCAACTGACAGATGTTGGAATTGGGAGTAAAATTACTTTAGTCCGGTAAAGTGCTCTTACCAAAGCTTGTGGATTTTTCTCTTTGGGTGGTGTACCAACATAAGACGGCGTCAAGTATAATTTGCTTTTTAGGTTGGGAAGGCTAGTAGTTGCTGCAAAGTCTCCATTCCACCTGGCAATCACCTGTAAGCGGATGAAATAGACACAGTGCTGTAAGGGTATAGTAGGTAATAAGAACATGTACTTGTGGCGAGTTGCTCTTCTGATTGTTCTTGATGATGTTTCCAATGAGCTTTGGTCCAATTGTGGTCTCTCCAATAGGCTTCCAAATCTTGTCTCGCTTCTTTGTGGTTGTGTTGAAGAACGTTTCCAGCTGTTGCACGACGACTTTGATGCCAAACGATAGATAAGGGGATTCAATTTCAAATGCCCTGTACCTATTTATAGTAAAGTGCTCATAAAGCAGTTGCATGGAGATGTTACTGTATGTATGTCGTACCAGAGTTGATCGTAGCCCATGCATATAGCCTGGCTGTATTTGTGTGAAAAATAGTGTCCCGCTTTCTTTCCGTGACCTCGCTTATACTCCCATCTCTTTGACATCTTTTCTTTGGAGGAAGACCGACAGCAGAACCCTGCATCACGCTAGTAATACATGGGCAATAATTATTTTAACATTGATGTGTAGCTGTTGTACCGATTTCCCACAGTGTTTCTTGACACTGCATGTGCTTCCTCCAAGTAGCTTATTCCTCACATTGCGGTTCCACTCTCTTGGTTGATTATTGATGGTCTGTTGGAATCAAAACCACACTGTGAGATGTGAGCCTATTTTTGCATGCAAGACCTTGATGAATTTGAGAGGGTAGTGTGCAACAATTGGGGACTTGTAAACAAGAATCCGAAATGGTCTCTTTATCTGCTCCCTACGGTTGACTGGTCCCGTGGTATCAGTGACGTGCCCCAGATTGGCATAAATTTTATTGGGGTGTCCCTGAGTAAAAAAACACATGTTTCATCATTCATTAGCTTCCCCCGAAAAATTATAGTAGTGTTTTACTTACCTGTCCATTTCGCACTGCAAGAGCTACCAAGAATTTCTTCTTGCAAGGTTCACCATTCTGTAGTGATGGCTCATAGTCGGATTTTCGCCGTGTGCAGAACCTTATCTCGCTAGATGATATCAAGGACGCACTAACTCCATGCAAGAGTAGTAGCGAAATTGCACAGAGAAGTTTCAACCGCATCAGCAATGCCGTCACTTCTTGCGGAGTTTTTGCAGTGTTTTGGATTTGCCGCGTTCGTTGCTAATGCTGCTGCCGGCCGGCCCCGCGCCCGCGCGCGACGCGTAGCGCGCGCCGCCGCTTTGGTTATGGTGCGCGATGTGCTCCAATTAGAATCGGGTGTTCGAGCGAGATGGAAGACATGAAAGTCTCCCTGGAGTCTCTCTACACCAACAAGGTGAAGGAGATCGACTACGAGGGAGAGGAACACTACCAAGAGTAAGCTTCCATTATGCTGCAGCTCAGTTGTCAAGCTCCGAATAGCATTTATCGTGCAATTTCATGTGTGTGTGTGCAGGCGTTCAAGCCTCTCTCAGCACGTGACGGAGTTGGCCCAGCGAGTCGACTTCAGTGAGGTAACTGAGGGAAAGGAAGGAGAGCCAGCTGTCAAGAAAGCCACCCAAAAATGGCCCTGGGAGCAGCCTCACTCTAAACTGAAGTAGGTTTGACTTTGCCAGTAGCATGCATAGAATGGTTGGCTGAGGAGTATGTTGTGTGTGTGTGTGTGCAGGCAGGCGCTAACAGAGGTGAGTGTGCTGGCAGACATGCTCCACATTCTCCATGACCATCGCCACTACATGGCGATGGACACAGTGGCCCCTCGTCCTACTCCTTCCCTCCCTCTCGCCTTCCAGTACATCGTCAAGAAGAAGGTCCACTTACATCTCTGTTCTGTGTGTATGTGCATCAGCTGTTTTAATGGTAGAGATAGAGTTTGCAAGAGGGTAATGAGTGTCTGTCTGTCTGTCTGAGGTGGCAAGCCCATTTTATAAATAGGCATTTTGCTCCTCAGAAGAATTATTGAACGGTTGTGTGTGGATTGTGTCTCGTTTTTGTGTGTTTGTTTTTATTCCGTCCCAGGCTCTGGCTAGAGCAGCAGAGATCTTGAAGCGTGGAACTGAAGCTCTCACCCACTCGTCTTCCCGAGAGGAACGAGCGTTCCATCGTGCTCTGGCCGAGCTCCGTCGCAGGTGGCGTGTGAGGCGGGCTCCAAATGGAAACATTCTAGGAGACCTCGGCTATTCCACGGGTATCATTTAGAGAGCTATATCTGTTCTCTAGAATGTGTATTGCATACAGAGAGGGAGATTGCCTACTTAGTCAAAAGTGTCAAAATTGAGGGGTATCCTTATTTCAAGGGTTAAGTTACATGCAAGAATTGCTGGGGAGATGATAGTCCTCATTTCAGGGGTGTCCTTAGAGAAGGGTCTTGGTGTGTTGTGCAGCTGGTTCAACGCATGTGCCCCAGAGCCGAGCCATCTTTGAGGTGAAGAAATCCACGGGGACAGAGAGCTCTCAGGCAGTTAGCCAGCCTCCAGCCGAGGAACAGGGTAAGGAGAAGGAGATCCTGTCCATCACCATCTTCAGGGAGCTGAGGGGTAGCAGTGAGGTCGTCATCTTTCTCTCTTCCTCTCCTGTTAGAGGTATAGAATAGAATCATATATCTCTCAAGGTTATTGTGTATGTATGCTAGGCGTATGTAGTGTCGTAGTTGTTTTCTTATAATGGTTTGTGGGTTAACACCCCAATTACTAGGACATTTCACATGTGCATGCTATTGTTTCCACTGTATACTCCATTAACACCTCTGTGTCCTCTGATTCCAGCGTGTGAGAGTATGTCAGCGGTGGGGACCATTCCCCGTGTCCCTCCCCGCCGACCACTCCCCTCCTGGGAGACCAAGATCCTTGCGGCACAGAACATCATCTTCAACCAGGAACTCTTTTCTCACGTGAGGCCCTCTTCCCACAACCGTTCATTCCATGGTGGGAAATTGGTGCAAACTTTGTGGTGATTAAAAAATGTTTGCACTGAGAATTTCTTGCTGATTTGTGCAATTGTCCCTCTCCGTAAAGTTTCGATGATTGATGAGCATTAAACGTTGGTGATCTGAGAATTTTTTTGCTGAGTTTTGACCCACTGAACAATTGCCCCCATTCAAAAAGTTTCGCATTTATTTTTTGCTGAGGGTTTGTGAAAGTTTTCCCCTTTTGAAATTTCCTACTATATATGCCATACATAACACATACACATGTAATTCCCATTCCCTCTCTATCCATACAGTTGACTAAGGAAGCCTACAATACAAAGACGACTCTACCTTATGAGGTCTATACCGACAGAATCATAGCACCCGTAAGTACAGCAAATCCTGACTTGTAGCACATCAACGAGTGAAGGTTCCGTTTGTATATGTAGCTGAGTCTGAATCCTCCGTGCTGGCTTTCAGTACACCATGTCAGAGAATACGATGACAACAAACAAAGGCTCGAGGTACAGTCTCTTTTTTACGTGTGTGACTATTTATGGTGGCACCAGGGTTAAATTCTTAAAAGGTGGAGACAGTTCTGGGTAGAGCAAACCTGAACAAGTCATGCACAGTGTTTGTTTGACAACTTATTTGCTGTGGCTATTTGTTAAGGGGAGGAACATTCCCCCGTGGATTCTGTTAAACGGTGGTGTTACTAGTTGTGTTATCTTTTTAGCCGGTGGTGGTAGTTCCGTCTGAGCTTCCCCCGGTCCGCTGGGACCTGGTGGTGGCGGCTAAACTCCTCCTGAGACAGAGGCACCTCCGCAGTGTTGCCCTGTTCCCACCCAGACCCACGTCCACCAGGTACACCGACAACCCCACCCTCCAGAATGCCGGAGCCAACGCCCTCAGCGACTCGAAGATCAAGACAGCAGATAAGAAGTGAGCCCTTCTCCACGCACACGTGTCATTGTTGTCAATGGCCAAGTTCTTTTTTCTTCTCTAGGGACAATATCTTCCAGTCACTTCTAAAAATGGCCAAACACATGCACAACGAAGAAAGGTTCGTTTTGACCATAATTTATTATGCTACACATTATGCTAAAGCTGATGTGTTTAGAACCATTATAGGGCAATAGAACTACAAAGGGTTTCTCTCTTCAAAGTTTACTGCTACACAAATGTTATTTATCCACGTATGTACGTGTTTGTGTCAGACTGAGGCAGTGGTTGGTGGAGTTGGTGGGGTCCAGCAGAGGAGACCCAGTCCTCCAGCTGCACTGGGTACCCAGTCTCTCCATGACCGAGACCGCCGTCTACCTCCACGTCAAGTCTGAAGGCGGCGGGTTAGCCGACTTGCAAAGTTTATATGTGTGTATTTGATTGGCATTGGTGTATTGGCGAGCGAGGCTAGTGGGTGTGAATGATCTATCCCAGTGATACTGTCACACATAGAAACCGTAATGTTGTGTGTGTTTCGTAAACTGCTGAAATTCTGCACTTGTGTTTGCCCGCCAAGAATTGGTTCTATTTTATCCCGACCTGGATATGTTTTTTTCCAGTTAGATTGTTTTTTCTCAGCCACAGTGTCAATGTCCAGTTGAGTGTGGAGACAGTGACAGTGGGTCTGGTGGAGGGAGGGACCGCTTCCTGCCCCATGGACAAAGACAAGCTCCTCGGCATCCTCAGGCACCAGGTCTGTCCCTGAGGTCCCAATTACCATTAGGTCTGTCTGTGAGACCAAAATTACCCCCTGGGTTAACTAGAAGTATTGTAGCCATCATGTGTTGTTAGTGAGTTCATTTTGTCATCAGGTGGTGGTGTACCAGATGTTCACGGCAGTCCAGGTAGCGGAGAAGGCTAGCTGGATCATTCTCCAGTCCTTCACTCGTCCTCAACTCAGCTCGACTCTGGCTCGAGACAGCGGCAACTACCTGGAGGCCTGTAACATCCTACTGCAGTCCCCCGACGCTCACAAGTAAATCACAGCCTAGTTATAGTGAGCAACCAAAAGCAAAACCTCTCTATAAAGACCACTTGGTTCTAATTCTTGTACCGTTGATTTTGACAGCTAGCTTTTTATGTCCCATACGTCACAGCGATGTAATGAGAGAGCAATAGAGACAGCAATATTCAACTTCTAGGAAACTGGTGTTTTGTGCCTCTATGTATGTACTCGTTCCTGCATGGTGCATTGAGCGCATTGTGTTTTGCTGTATGTTGCAGTAAGCTGGATATCTTGTTGGAGTGGAAGCACGTGTCAGTCAGTAAGACGCACACCAATGCCAGCGATGCAGATGGTCCTTGTACTGCCACAAAATTCAAGATGGACTCTAAATTCGGACAATCGTTTCATCAGCGCTTCTCAAACCTTCTAGGGACCATGGCCTAGATTATCATCATTCTCACACACATGTACATGATTTTGTAACGGTACTAAAATGCTGTATACTGATTGTGGTTAGCTCTGGCTGTCACTGTTACTGGCAGGGTCAGGGTCTTCATCTTTTTCTACGTCTTGCTCTGATTCTTTATCCCTCTGTCTTTCCCCTATTTTTGCTCTTATCTCTTTTCCGGGGCTTTTCTTTGTTTCTTTCCCTGTCTTGTCCCTCAACCTTATCCCCACGTCCTGTTTTAGGCCGGTTTGGAGATTTCTTTGCTGAATCCTTTTCTTTACTTTTCTGTGCTACTCCCTCTACTGCCAACTCCTTCCCTGTTGACTTGAGACTAGCCTGTGGTTCTCTTTTAGCTTCGTCTGGTCTACCACCACCAAGTTCATCCTTCTTTCTTTGGTCTTTGGACTTTTTCTTCCCCTCTAGACCTGGCTGTTGGATCGTGGTCTCCGTTGGCTGGGATACCTTTCCCTTTTCTTTGACTCTTTCTGTTTCTTCAAGTGGCTCTTCTTGCTCTTTCAAGTCTTGTTCCCTGTCAGCCTCTGAGAGAATGGCTGTTAGTGCCAATGCTTCAATGTCAACACTGTTCTTTTCCTCCTCCTTTGCTTTTGCTTTCTGCCTTGTATTTCTCTGTTCTTTATTCTCCCTCTCACTTTCTTTTTCTGCCCCGCCGTTAGGTTCTTCTTTACTCTCATCCTCTGCTCCTTCTAACGTACTCTCCCCCTCATAATCTTGCTGCTGTATCTTATCCTTTGTCGACTTTCTCTTTTCTCTAACTTTTTCTGCTTTTGGTACCTCTACCTCTTTCAAGTCTTTTTTCTTGTCACCCTCTGCGGGAGTATAGTCGATGTTCATTGCCAGAGCCTCAATGGTAGCTCTCTGTTCCTGTTTCTCCTTTTCGGCCTTCTCACTTTCCTCTTCAATCTTCTTCAAGTCTGCAGCTATGTCGACAATCCCATACTTCTCCAGTTTGCCTTTCTTCTTAGCCCGCATCAGAACCTGCTGCTCCGCCCTGGCCATGTTCTCTCCACTGTCCCTCAGGAATCGCCACATGACCCAGCGTCCCAGCCAGATGAATGGGAGTAAACAGCAGAAATAAAAGAAGCACACTGTCCTGACAACGTGGATCATCCTTACGTCAGTCAACCTGTGCAGTAAAGGGCATAGAATATCTTGTAGCCGGAAAAAAAGCAATGCGATTGTTGTAGGACATCTTTTAGCTTACATAGGCATAGAGAGAAAGTCTGTCAGGAAGGTTCAGGTACGGTGTGCTAGGAAACCAGCAAACTAAGGCACCGAGCCACAACTCCCACACAAACACTTGTCTTCCCCTTATAGACGTTTTAGTCTTACTCGGACTTGCAGTGGCACTCAAAGGAGGTGTTTCTCCAGTCGTCGAGTCTGTGGGGACTCTTCCCAGCTGCTCTGAGTCTCTTGACCTTCCTCTCGTATCTGGCTCTGGCAGCCTTGGCCCCTCGACATTCCCCACTGCACTGCACCAGCAGAGGACCTGCAGAACACACACACACGCACGAGACATGGGAGGAATAATACAAACACTTTTCTTCAGTCTTTCACTCGTATATATACAGACTCTGACAGTCCATGTTTAGAGTGGCTTTAAGATTCCCTGCCTACAATGGTGTGTTTGCTCAGGCAATTGGACTAGTAAATCTCTCACTCTTTGGAGGAACTCCTTTCTCAACCATCTTTTCGGTGTGCTCCTGTGCTTTGGTCTTCCGGCAGCAAATAATGCTGCCAAACGACAGCTTGATGAAGCCCAGGACGAGCAAGATGCCACCAAAGAACCCGACGAACCCGTGAGCTCCAATCGACTCCAGCACCATAAACAAGAGTATGAGAGCTATGGGGCCTGGTTTGTATACGGTGGGAGGCCCAGCTTCGGAACAGTGAGCCGTTGACTTCACATTCTCGTCGTCTTCACACTGCAGACGAGAGAGAATAGAACAAGGACGATGGGTAGCTAAGTGTAGTAGTGCTACATACCACACATCCACAGATGCCAAAACACATGCAGGCAGCTCCCACTTTGATGTCTATCATTGCAGTGTCCAGTAGGTTGAAGTTTGAGTCGTACAACTGAACTGGAGCGGGGAAAAAACACCGTTTATTAGTCAAAACTCCCATGTGCGCTATGTACATATATGTATGTACAAACCTTCACACTTCTTGTCGCCACCATCAGTGTCCCCACTGCGCAGAGTGAATGAGGTGTTTTTCACCTCGCCAGGGTTGAGGGACAGAGTCTTGGCTGCAATGTCGTGGAGGCCGGTGGTACACTTGGTGACTGACACCGAGTACTCAGAGAGGACCTCCCCCGTGTTCCCCACCTCCACTGTCAGGGACCCGTGACCCACTGCGGCTGTGAACGGTACCGTATACGTCTCCACGATGCGGCCACTGCTGATGCTCCTGACAAAGGTAATGTTGGACGCGTCGATCCGGAGGGTGACAAACGAGTTGTGGAGGTCCTCGTGGTAGAATTTGAGGATGAATGAGTGGTTATTGGGGTGAGAGTCGTGGTGGACCTTCCCAAAGTTGTGGAGCATGTAGCGTCCCGATTCCTTCTTCTTTCTCAGGTCCTGAGCATAGCGCGGCACTTATTCACATGGTTTTTACCATTATCAAAAAGAACAACTAAGCAATGACACACAGGCTTACATCATCATACTCCCAGAGCTGAAGTGGCTGGTTATGAAAACAGCTGCAAAACAGTTTGTCAGTCATGGACATACATTGAGGTGCGTGCTTACGATCCTGCCTTTGCCTGGCACCTCCCCGACTGTCTCCTGAAACCAGTGTAGCTGACTCCAACCTTGTTACACTCTGTCCCGCGCAGCTGGACCATGCTCGTGTCCACCAGCATCCAGTCACTGGGTCCATTCTGCAGGAATTGTACAACCCATCTAATCTATGTATTATATAGCCGAAGAACTACATATAGTCTCATGGACCAGCCGACAGCTAACCCGAAAGGTGAGACTGAATGGCTCACATACATACCAGTATAATTATGGGGTCTGCAATGTCTATTTGTCTATAGAGTGGTGAGTTGGGCAGCCAGGCCTCACTGCAGTGTTCATTGGTCTGCCTATAGAGTGGTACATAAGTTGTGCAAGCCTCACCGAGTATGCCGGTGGGTGGGGCTTGTCCTTGGGCCACATTCTGACTGATGGTATGAGCAGTCTTTTGTGGGAGAGGTCCTTGACAGCTTGAGATCCCACCAGACTCCCCTGCAGCTCAGCAATCACCTAGTACACCAGGAATGGATGTCTCAGGTCAGAACCATACATTACTTCAGCAGCCACTTTAAAGGGAATGTGACTGTTTAGACGGGCTAAATTTGGAAACTGTTACTTACAACGGCACTCGGCCCTATTGTTTGGCTAAATTGTATTGACACGGTATTTTAAGTGTGGGTGGGTCTGTTCAGTTTTACCCGCCCATCGCTGGAGCGACCGACTGTCCGAGAGGGGCTGAGGTGAAACGTGGAAATGAGCTTCCAGTCCACATGTCTGCTCCTTGTTACATTGTTGACCACAATTCCCTGCAGCTCCAGTACATCCAGAGTTATCTTGTACTGCATCATCGGCATCTCTATACTATAGACATCATACCTGCATTTACACCGGAAAATATTTTTTTAGCTGAAGGGTTCCAGCGATGTAATGCATTTCAGCAGTAGCTACATGTGGGAAACTTGCCATAGATCGTCCATCTTCATGCAATGGGCTGACATCCTCTTCTGGATCAAATTTCCCAAGTCACACGAGTGACCACCTCTCACACTCTTCTTTGCCTCAAACCCACTGAAACATTTACAGCAAAACCCCTGCAAGGGTAATTCAGTGAGTGAGGTGTTACTAGGGCGCTGCACCAATTAATGTATATATTATACCAACCTGGCTGTCCCATACTCGCTCATTTGTCTCGCCGTGGAACTGAATTCCACACGGTAAATCTTTTGGGTTTGCATAGAAGTCGTCTACACATGTCCCCTTGACTTCGATGAATCCAACTTTGTTTGCAGAAATAGCTCCCTTCTTTGAAATTGTGGTCTCTTGTGGAAGGGCGTTTGCTGTCTGTTGAAAACAACTTTACACAGGAAAACCCTAGACAAGAGACTTACATCAAGTAAGTATACTCGGTAGCTGGCTATTACTGGTGTCTTTCGCAGTTCAATCCTAAACGGTTTCTTGAGCACACTCATCTCTTTTTTTCCTTCCTCGTGTGCCTTGCCCACGTTGGCATGCAGCGACTCTGTATTTTCCTACCTCAGCGGAATCAGTGCATCATCGATTAATTTTTTCTGGTTATTATGTACCTTTCCCGAGCCAAGAACCATTGAAATCAACATTTTCTTCTCGCAGACAGTCCCGCTTGGCGACTTGGGCTCAGAAGAATCTCCCCAGGTGCAATCTTTGATCGAACTCTGAGATATTATTGCTCCCCGTCCAAACGAGACGAGCAGCAGCAGCAGTAGTAGAATCCCCAGAACGATAATTCGATGCTTCTTCATCGCTCACGTCACCACCACGCACTAGGCAAAAACGCTTTGCGCATGGTCGGTCGTCGCTTGACGACGGCCCCGCCGCCGGCGGGCCGGGCGCGACGCGCGCAGAGGGCAGTGTGCGCATGCGCAAAATGGAGCAAAGCTACACTACCATAACTTCATGCATCTTTAGGTAAGACTAAGCAGTTCTTTTACAGTGGCATGTTGTTAATAAAGCGGTGGAACATCGCCCAGGCTGTAACAGGCCTGTACTGGGGGACCTGTAGAATGGAAAAGCAGTCAGGCAATGCATATTACTGTGTGTTGTTCAAGTATAATATGTTACCATATGTCCCGACCCCTTCACAGTCACAAACTTGAAGTCATTTTCTTCATACTCAGTGACATAGCCAGCCACCTATACACACACACACACACACACACATACAAAGGTAAACTATAATAGCCAACACAGGTATATACATGTATAATATACCTGGTCATTGACCATCCAAGGCCTCCATGCTTCCTTGACCTTGAAACCCAAACCAGACGTCCATTGCTATAATAAATGGTATAGCCAGTATACAATATTATGCAGCTATGCAAGATTAATTATGTCTATAGACACACCATATGTTTTCTGTAGGCATCTAAATATTATACATACCTCATTCCCAATGAAGGGGACACAGCCGTCCACATCTCCATTGAAGATCATAGTGCGGTAGGTACCGATGAGGGTCGGGTAGAGAGGGATGAGAGAGGCAGTGTTGGCGTTGTAGTGTATCTTTTCAGTACAGATGTGCCATCCACCAATCTTGTCCATCGAGGCAACATGGATAGCTTCTCTCACCTACCAGAGGACATTGTGATGCTAATGGTGACGTGGCACAAGCTGTGCGGTCTTACCGTCGAGTTGTCAAAGTATTTCCTCTCGACGTGATCGTCAATGCAGCCATCTGGCCCACTGTACCGCCCAAACCTCTTCAACAGTACGTCCTTGAGAGGGTTACTGCACGAGTGAAAATAACAGTGAAATAGAAAGTGGATTGTTGTTGGGGTGTTATCACAACATAGCCATTTTATAAAAAGCTTACCTCGCACGATTTGCTGTCGCCATGTCTTCATAGCAGGGCTCGTATATGTCGTAGATGTTGACTTTGCCAATTTCGTTGGACATCTCCTCAATCAGAGCCATACACTTGCCACTAAGGGTATTACAAACAGGAGGCCAGGTACATACATATACCACTACTATTGGTGGTGGCTACATACTAGGATCCATGAAGTCTCCGCATTCCTTCAACATGTCTTCGTAAAGAGCCTGAGAAGACAGCGTAATAGTTACTCCCATTGTACCAAAGTTAAAAAACACTCACATCTGGGAAGAGGGCATGGAAGTGATAGAAATCAACGTGGATCTTGAGACTTGTCTGCTCGCCACACCCACCCACCATGTTGCCCACACATCCATTGCCCACCTATTAGAGAAAGAAACCCTTGTTTCTGAAGGTATTTCGCGTCTTAATCTTACTGCTCTGTTGGGTTCTTTATACTTACCATGAATCCCTTGAGGTTGATCTTGTCTGAGGTCTGCTGGTTCATGACTCGGATGGTGTCAACAAGGGTAGGCACATATATCCCGGCATACGACTCCCCACTATAATGACACGTATATACATCTTGTATCTTTGTAGTTTGCAACATAAATTATACTGATAATCTTTTATTTGGCACAATTTCGGTACACCTGTCCTGATATAATAATAACACGATCGACTCTTTGAGCAATGCAAAATCACTCAAAAGCTGTGCTCTATATACCCCTTTACTAATTAGAGGCAATCTCACTTTATCCTCTTTAGAGTATGCAAGACTTACGCAACATAGAAGTCGTGGTCTTTGTACTCGGGAAAGTTCTTGAAGAACTCCACCAGAAAGTGGTAGTTGTCGAGTGCTGTCTGATTGTCGTCTGTGTTGTAGTCCACGTTAGGATTGTCAGAGTAAGAGAAGCCAACACCCACTGGGGCCTCCACTGCAAACCAGGGAAGGTAGGAGATCGTAGGTTTAAAATGGGGAGAGGGGGCATACAGAAAATCATGTTGGTGATGTTGGCCCAAGTATAGTTGTTGTAGACCAGTTGTGGCAGTGGAAGTTCGTCAGCTGTCCTGTATAATTGAAAGGGGTTTACCTGGTGGTGCATACTGAAAAATCATACTCCCAAAACGCCCTATATACCACTAAAATGGCATTCCTAAGGTTACCTCACCACATTGTACATTGCCACATCCTATATTGGTTTGCGAAATTGTGTGGCACTTACTGTCTATTGAAGTGGAGGGGCCCCTGTTCGTTAAAATAGCCATCAAGTGAGCTGCAACCAGGTCCTCCATTCTATGGCAGACAAGAGCTCAAAATTATACAACTCAGCAAGCATGCCATCATGTGATGTCATGGACAATTGAGTGGGAAGTATATAGGTCATGCATCATGTGATTAGAGTTATGATGGTTTTCACAATCATGAGTCATGTGATACAAATACTCGGTAGTATTATTGTATAATAAGTTGCAGTTGAAAAAGCTTTTTCAACTGCAACTTATAATGCAAATACATGAGTGCATGCACGCACTACTCACCAACCAGAGCACAACCGGATCAGATTCGGGTTTGCTGCCGCTCTGCACGAACCTGCAGGGAGTTCATATAATCGGCGGCCGACGTGCTTCTGGTAATGCTCGCGCGCAAATACATGCGAAAGTGCCGCGCGTTACTCACCAGTAGTGCATGTGCTTCGTGTCGCTGATGTCGATGTAGCCGCTGTACTGCTTGGTAGGGAGCGGACCCCTCCATCCCGGGAGAGATGTGATGACGTCGCCGGGAATATCCGCCAGGCAGCAGCCCAGGAGACCAGCGGCTCCCAGCAGGAGCAGTGGAGACAGTGAACGAAACATACTCTAGCCTTCTTCCGGAGAAAACGCCGTCGGTTTTGCACTGGAGCGGATATTTTATGCGCTGCCGAGAGCGGGGGTGGGGCTGGTTTAGCGTTCGGGTCCCATTCCATGTTACCACTCCGGTCTCAAAACCAGTCACAGGTTAGTAAGCGCACGCGCGCAACGTTAGTCATGCACGCGTGCATGATAGCAAGGCTGGGTGGCTAATGGATCTTCAACAGCTAAGCAAGAGAGCGAGCAGTGGTGTTAAGAGTGGCCTAGCTGAAGTGCATCTCATCACATGTCCGTGTACCTACTACCACTACCTCTGCGATGACATAGACGACAGGGTACTACCAATTGGGGGTCGGAAGGAGAGGGGGGGGGTTTCAAGTGTAAGGGGATTTAGTAACATTTGCTATTAGGGGTGGGGGTGTGGCTACCGGAGTCTCCAGTGCCTTTGTTCCTGGGCAGTGAGTCAAACAAACAGAGAAGAGGGGGAAAGTGAGAGAGGCACGGCCACTAGCGAGAACACCAGAGAGCCTGCTACAACTGATGACAGAGGTCACAGTGGTACAGTAAGAGAGACGTGTGTCTCTGTGAGTAGTGTGCCCGGTGTGAAGGTGTGGAGGGTGCCCAGTCTGAGGGAGATTCAGGAGACTCTGGTGAAGATTGGAGACAAGCCACCTGGGTTTGTTGGTTCCCGGGACTGGATTGGCTCCTTTGAGGCCTGCCTGGTCTTGGACCACCTCTTCTCTGTGAGTTACACTGCTCAATCCTTCACTGCATATGATATTGCGAAAGTTTTGTTTTGTTAAAGGACTCATTTTCTATAGCGGTGTTTATACAACTATAGCTTTCAGACTAGTGTTTACACTCGCTCCAAAGATTGTTTTAGGCAAAAATGCTATTTAGCTGATCTGTAGTAAAATGTGTTTTGAGTCCCATTAAAGCTAGTTTATTGTGAATTGCGGGCCAGTTGGTTCGCTATAACTCACTTTCATTGAGTGTCAACCGACTGAGGCCGGGAATGGCTGCAGCAGCTAATAGTTATCAGCTGGTATTGCTAGTACTGTCGTTTCAATGTCTCGCTAGTGAGGTGGTTAGCGGACCCAGGGAGACATGTTTTCAACATCTGCCCAACGCCACGACATCGTGTCTCCTTTGTCCGGTTCCTCCTCACTTCAGAATGCTCTACTGCTCTGGCGAAGATGCCTACATCCACGCATCCTTTGTTGCAACTACCGCCACGACCAATGATAACAGCAACAGCAACAACAACTCACTAGCGATTAGGGAAGTGATATTTGGACTGGATCGAAGTCGGGGGTTACTCAAAAAAAGTGTATTTCTCCGGAAACTTCCTCAGACGGTGTCCGAATTGAATGGTTTCTTTTGCAACGAGAGCCGTCGACAGGGCACGCTCTGTAGTCGGTGCAAAGATGGATGTGGGATTGCGCTCTACACTTACTATGGCCTTCCCTGCGCGTGTCCCTGTGGGGACTATGGAATACTTCTCTACTTCCTCCTGGAGATTGGATTCTCTACTCTCTTCTTTGCTCTTGTGTTTTTCCTGAAGATATCGGTTCTATCCAGCCGGTGGTACGGAGTTGTCTTTTACTTTCAAACTACAGCTAGCTTTGGGAACACCTACCCAATTATGCATACCTTTTACGAAAAGGCCGGACACCGCGTTCTTCCTGTTGTACTGGATTCCCTACACGGGGTGTGGAACATGGATTTCTTGAGGCTAGCACTGCCCCAGTTTTGCGTCAGTCAGCACGTTGGTACGCTGGGAGCTATCAGTACTGGCTACATCTCTGCTCTATGGCCACTGTTTCTGGTGGTCCTGATATCACTAGCCCTCGGGCTGCACAAACGAGACTATAAGATTGTGGTATACCCATGGCGTGTTGTGAATAAGATCTCAGCAGGAGTTATTCAGCGACGGTTTAGAGAGACAAACCTGGTAAAAACCTTCGCCACTTTCCTTTTTCTGTCTTATTTGAAGCTAATGTATGTCTCTTTTGCTCTTCTTGGGACCAGCACGTCCTACAACGTATCACCTGATAATTCATCAGTTATTCACGGACGGGCGTTCTCATTGGATCCAGAAGTTCCTTACGGCAGTCGAAAACATCTAAAGTATGCAATTCCCGCGTCCGTAATTGTTCTGTTTGTTGGAATTCTCCTACCACTGGGTATACTTCTTTACCCGATGAAATGTGTCCAGCGTCTGTGGGGTGAGAGAGTGACTGGTAGGTTCTGGCTTGGGGTGAAGACATTCATTGAAGCCTTCCACGGAGGGTTCAAGGATGGTACGGCCGGGACGAGGGACTATCGGCCAATTCCTGCACTCACCGTTTTCTCCAGAGTGTTTTTTGCAATGATGTATTCCCTCCGTGGATCTCCAATACTGGCGTACAACCTCCCGTTCATTTACGTCGCCCTTGCTTTCTCCTGTTTGGTAAATGTGGCCATCTTTGGATTGGGAAAACCGTACAAAACGAGGAGACACAATCTGATTGATGTGCTGCTGTGGGCACTAGTGGCGGTTGAGTGTTTGTTCATCTCTGCAATGTTTGAGGGAGAGTATGATGGTCACGTAATGTACACTCTTGTCGTCCTTGCCTTCCTCCCAGCCACTGCTGTAGCGATCTCAGTGGAGATTAGCATATTCAAGTATCTGATAGCTCAGAGGAACTGAGACAATTTATGACTGTTGTGTTGAATTATTCACTTTGCTAATATAATAGGCACATTCAGTAGTGTCTGCCTTTTGCAGGTGGCATGTAAGATAGTACATGTGTCAAGTGGAGCAGAAGTGGTGAACCACGTGGAGATGTTGGCTCAGCACTTTGACTCTGTCGGATCACCCGTCATGATTGGTATAATACTGGGCTATGAAAGCCAGAACGGCCTGGTCTTGAGAGTTAAATTAGTGTGGCCCTAAAATAGTATTTGCTTAGAGAGCCTTTTAGCTGTAGGCCTATACTGTGGCTACGTGATAGAGAGTGTGTGTGGGAATGTCTTGTTGTAACAGGTGGAGATGTGGACGGCTCATCAAAGACTCTCGCTGGTGTCTTAGTGGACCTGAACGAACCAAGTGCTACAAGATTCCTGATAGCTGTGAGTGCTTTCTGAGGGCCACTACTGTACATACAGTGCCTGTGGTGGGTCAGATACATAGAAACCATGGCTCCCATGAGGAATGCTATGAATGTGTAATAAAGAGCAAGCTCATCATTTTTTACGTTCGGCCTTAGCTTACTGTTAGAGCTCTGCCAGTTACAATATAGAATCATGGCCACTAAGCCCGCTACAACTTCTGAGAGAGAGAGGCTGATGTGTGGGATGTGCAAAAAGCCCTACACTAAGCCAAAGCTGCTCAAGTGCTTCCATGTGTTTTGTGAGCATTGCCTTCAGTCTCTGGTCCATGGAGACTCATTGGGACAGAGCCTTGTGTGCCCTGAATGTCTCCAGGACATGTATCTACCAGTGGAAGGTGTACACGGTCTTCCTGGTGCTATCAACATCAATCACCTCTTTGAAACACAAGAAATCCTCCAAAAATTGGACTCAGGAGGTAAAATAATGTGCAGTGAGTGCAAGAAGAATGAAGCAGTCAGTTTCTGCTCTACTTGTGGGTTCGTGTGCCAACGCAATATGAATGTGGTCCACGAGGAGTTGGAAACGTACTCGGCACACAAATTTTTCGACTTAGACACCCTAGTTGGAGGTGAAACTGCTTTTCCCGCTCCCAAGAAGAAACCACAATGCTCGATTCACCCGACAATCGGGGCCAGTCTATACTGCAATGAATGCAGCAGCTCCATATGCCAAGAGTGTTTCGTTGAGTTCCACAATGATCACCACATTACCACTTTCCCCAAGCAGGAAAAGGCATTACTGGATGGCCTTGACCTACTGAAAAAACAAGAAGAACATTTGGTCAGAGTCACAAGGTCGCTGGATGCTCAGCATGCCATGGTTAGCGAACAAGCAAAGGTCGTGAAAGTGGAAATCCACACTACCAAAGCGAAACTACAGCAGGCCCTGGAGACAAGAATGGACCAGTTACTAATGAAAGCAGAGGAAGAAGAGAAAGAGCAACTGGAGGCCCTAACCCAGCAGCAGAGTAAGTTCGAGCTCCTGCTAGGCAACGTCACGAGGGGCCGTGAATTTGTAGAGGAGAGCCATCGCCTGTGCAGCCACGGGGATATTCTTAAGGTTGCAGATCCTCTTGCGAAGCAGATCAACCATCTCACAAAACACACCGGAGCTGAGCCTCTTGCTGGCAGAGGAGGCCTGAGATTTGCACACAATCCAGAGGAGATTCTAGCATTGCAAGCATTTGGTAAAGTGTACCGTCCCCCCGAGAGATTTCAAGCATCAGGTGAAGGCATCAAGATTGCCATGCGAGGGCAAGTTGCCTCTCTCTCTGTAGAGGCTTTAGGCAGTGAGGGAGAAGCTTACATTGGACCTCTGAAAAGCCTGGTATGTGAGCTAGTTGCCATTGACAGCAGCAAACGCATTGAAGGGAGAGTAGAGGGAAACGATCGGAATGTCTACAAAATCAGCTACCAGCCGCAGGACCTAGGGAACTACCACCTGAACATCCTAGCAGAAGGGTACCACGTCTTCAACAGTCCCTTTGATGTGACGGTCCTCCCAGACCTCACTGCTCCCAACAGAATTATTGGGAATCTCAAGTGGCCGTGGGGAATCGCAGTTCGAGGTAATGGGGAGGTGGTAGTGGCGGAGAATGCTGGGCACTGTGTGTCAGTTGTACGCCCCGATGGCAAGAACAAATCACCTTTCAGCTCATGCGGAAATAGCCCCGGGGAGTTGCACTACCCGGAGGGTCTAGCAATCGATGACCGAGGCAATATTCTTGTTGTAGAATATAACAACCATCGTGTTCAGCAGTTCTCCTCGACAGGGAAACACCTCAAAACTATCGGCAGCCAGGGCAAAGATCCACTGCAGTTTGAGAGTCCAGTGGGTGTTGCAGTGCATCCTCGCACGCAGAAAGTTTACGTTGCGGACACTCGCAACCACAGGATCCAGGTTTTAAACCAAGATCTCACGTTACACAAGATCTTTGGTGCCCAAGGCTCAAAAGACGGGGAATTCGAAATGCCGTACGACATGTCTTTCGACAGTGACGGCCGTGTCTATATTGCTGACTACAGGAACCACAGAATACAGGTATTCAGAGACGATGGCCACTATCTGAGGAAGTTTGGAGGGGGAGAGCTGGAGCGACCATCTGGCATTGCTATCGATCCCTCCACCAACACTGTGTATGTCTGTGAGCACAAGAAGAACCGCGTATCGATATTCTCTACAAACGGAGAATTCATAAAGTCATTTGGGGATGGAAGCATGTTTACCGATGCCTACGCACTAACTGTGGACGGAAATGGGGCTCTATACGTCAGTGACAGAGACAAAAACTGTGTTTGTGTGTTTGTCTGAGATATAAAATGTCTTTGTGCAAATTAGTGATGACTGTGAATGTCTTATCATGAATTTGGTTACTCCCCCAAACAACTCCCACGATAAATTTTAGAACATATTTGAAGGAAAACCGGCAAGAGTTGTATATTGAGGGTTGGCCCACTCTGACCCCTTCAATTATACCCGTTACAAACGTCCATAACTTACACTCACATTATATTCGCACACTGCTATACTGTATACCACTCCCTCAACTGCAGGATCCTCACTACACAACTGGTGGAAACAGTAGCAAAGGCGACACAGTCAGCGGAACTTCCTGTGAAGACGCAGTCTTGCTTAGTGACAGAGGCATGCGCTGGCACGGACTGGAGATCTTCCAGACTGCATCGTTCTACAACTTTTGCCTCCCTCAACCTCTTACAACCCTACAACCCACTGAGCCATAGTCTGTAATTATAATAGTCACCAAAAATCTTCAGTTCACGTCACACATTATTTATAACACAGCTCAAGTTTTTTTTTACAGTTTGTGATAATGTCAACCGCTTGATCCTACAACTGAATAGAGATTGATTCCAATATGTTACTCATCAGCCAACAGAGTCTTCCCGATCTGCAGTAGTGACCGGGGAGGATGATAGGACACATCCGTCAGACCAAAGGCGGCTGGTCCCACCACCTCCATGGCTCGGGGGGTCAGCATACGAGGACTGGCGGGGAGGGCTAGAACCCCCACTCGCAGCCCGTAGCGGACAGCCTCAGTCGTGATAGGGAAACCTGGCGTAATATGCATAGGTGTGTGTTAAATGGAATTGGGAGGGAGATAGGGCAAGTGAAGAGAAGAGCCATTGAGATCCACTGGTACGTACGTTACGCACTGCAGCATATATGGTAAATAAGGTTAACTCCCTTAGGTGGAAATGGGAGGAAAAAATACAATACAGCCTTTGGCTAACATATTATGCACTGTAGCTCATACAGTTGTATGTACCTGTGTCAGAATCGACCAAACAGATGAGATCAGGTGTACAGGCCATCACAGCACCCTCTCCCTCTGCCTCCTCTTCCACGTAGCGGACGATGAAGTTCTCGTTCTTTGCCGATACTTTGACCTTGTGACCTCTGTAAATGTCCAGACCTTCCACCACGGCCTCAAGTCTACCAAACCCTCCCTGAGTCACGTGGACCACGTCTGTCACCTTCACATGACACAGAGACAAGAGAAACAACGTAGCAACTTCAATAGTGGTTCCGAATTCTCGGATGCCTTTATACGTGACTAAAGAAACATAGAGGAACAGTATCTAGCTACACATTTTTAGTGAGCAGAGCGACCTATTGGTGCATGAGCATTGTCGTGACGCAGGGTCAGTCGTTACTATAAAAGCCCACGTAATTCGGACGACTAGATGAGCTCACTTTGCTGGCAAATAAGACGAGAAGATAAACGATACAGTTTCACACAGTGAGTGAAGTGTAAGTAAACTCTGACAGACCTTGCCAACCACAAGTACAGTTCCATTCTGTTGGGCGGAGATGGCCTCCAGGACACTGGTGTGACATCTCTGGGCGCGTCTCACAGCACGACCCAGCTGCCACGCCATGCTCATCGTCAGTGGGATGGCCTTGTTCAGCACCTCCTCAAGAGTCAGGACACCCAGAGATATTCCACAGGACATCCTGCACAGGAACCATGTGGAAATCTACTCTCATCTCTTGATACACAATCACAATTTAACTTTGTTATATACAGAATAATGGACATATTGGGACTAGACAGTTTGTCAGTTAAACCTCCCTTTGGAGGCACTAGAATGAACGTTTGGGACCTCAGAATGTTGAGTAGTTTTATCCTTCATTTGGAGTGTCCATTATCGGAGGTTCTACCGTAGATGCTTTCCAGCATGCAGGATGTTTTGTACTTGTCACATGGTGAAGCTACTTATGCAGCAAATCAGATTTTTTTGTATTCACGCGTTTTCAATCCAGTAATCCACTCAACACACACACCCATGATGACAGGGGACTTACCCCATGCGCACACACTCCACTCTGAAGAAGTCCTCCAGGTCCTTGCCACCGGCCACGTACGTGCAGGCGATGACCTCTCCCTTGTTGTCGGCCACGGTGCTGGGGTACGGCCGACAGCCGTAGATGAGAGGACTGAACATCTGGAGCTCGGGGAATGCTCGGCCCATCCCGTCCGCATCCAGCACGGGGAGACCCAGCTCGGCCCCGAGGACCAGAGGCGCAAACGAGTTTGCCCCTCCAATCTCAGCGCTGAAGAGGTGAGTGATCCGTCGTGTCTAGACGAGGAGTAAAACAGAGGACAAACGTGTCATCTCACAATTAGCCTGCTGTCTTATCATGTAGTCAGGCCCTGGTGCACGTGTCCAACGAGGTATATAGACAGGCAAGGCAAAGTCAACGACACCCAGGGCAGCTCTTTTTCCAAGGAAAAAGACGAAATCTCTCAGATTATTAGTGCATCGGGCAGATTATAGATACAACTTCGACTCTGTGTAACCTACTAGTTGAGAAATCTACACGAGGGGAGTATATGCCAAAGGCAGACCTGATCGATTTTCTCTGGATCTGAGACGTTGATTTTTTCTAGATCATCAGGCTCGGCAATCCACACCTTCTTCCCTCCTCCGATATTCCTCTCCCTCACCCTCACTCTCTCGTTGCCCCTCTTCCCTCCTTCCTCCCACCCCCTCTCCCCCGCGGCCGTGTCGTACACACCACTGGCGAGCAAACGCTGGAGTGCCTGAACGGCCAGTCGAGTCTCCTTCCCGGACACCATCTTCTCTGAGATTATCATAGGGGCACCCATGAAGGCACCACACGTGACCAGACCTACTTCAGAGGCCTTCAACCTGTATCCATTATGATATGCAGGCATTTTGTAACAGCTTTTCATTAAATGGGCAAAAATAAAATTAATTTTGCAGGGGCATTCCAAAGGGGGGAAGGGCAGCTAATTTTTCCGTAATTCGAAAAAGTTTCCAGCATTGCACGCTTATCGTAATATGTACATTTGCCACCCCTTCTGCTTTTCCGTCACTTTACAGATTTTCATGTCCATGAAAGGTGTAATTTGGTCAAAATATGGACAAATCCGGCAGTGGGCAATAATACCTGAGAGGGTTGATGACGGTGATGCTCCTCCCGTGAGCCAGCTGCTGGAGGGCCATGAGGCGGCCGACATTGGGATCTCCTCCCCCGCCACACCCCAAGAGACCCGCCCCCACCGCCACACACTCCACGTCCTCCGCACTCAGCGACCACCTCCCTCCTGAAGGTGGACATTAATTAGGGTTATCAAACACCTCGTAGAGAGCGATAGTTAATGGTAGGCAACACACATATGGAGAGGGGATAAAAAGAGCACTACTCATTAATCCGTGCATCTTGCTTGGTAGACTGGTGAAGAGTGCATAAGGAGAGGAAGGAATCATCTCTACCAGCAAACCTACTTCTTACTTCCTGGGCACGTGCACTACAGCTGTGAACTACAATGGCATATGTGTAGGCAGTGGAAATGACCAATGTGAGAGAGTACTCTGACTCCTAGCAGTTGTGCTCGTCATGAACATGAAACAAAAACACTGTACCTTCCACTTTTGGACTCGGCAGCCCAGCAGCCACGTCTTTCTCCCTGTCCTCCTCAGAGGCAAACGGCCAGTGAGGATTATCCTCCACTGCCACTGTCTCCCTCTCTGAGGCCTCACGTAACGGACCGATTGCCTTGACACGGACTCGCACCTTGTTCGCCACGTACGCGACGTCCACCACGTCTTCGCTGTGGATGTACACCTCCGAACGAACCGCCCCCCTTTTGACGGCCTCACAGATTGCCCTCTCTCTCGTCCGCTCGAGGAGACTCAGTCTAGCTCTCTTCATCGTCTCCTCCTCGCTCTCTCCTCCTCTGCCCCCCAGGTCCAGAGACTCTATGGTGTCCACTGTAGCTCCTACTGTGCCCAGTGCAGCTCCAATAGCATTGGCCACGTCCTGCAACCATCACACATACACTTGAGTTAAGCACAATAATGGCAGTGAGGTGTTCTCTAAATAGAATGCTCTAAGCGTGCATTACCGCAGAGAATCAATGGGCAAGTGCTTCAAAACGGACCATTTGACACTGCAGGCAGGTGATCTGCTGCCAAGCTCTCAAGGCAGACAATTCACTGACAAGTGACAAGTTCAATGTTTAATGTGTGCTAGAAAACTAAACCAATTTTAGTGCATCTAACAACACCTAGACCATTGAGTGTGCCCAATATTCAGCATGCGACGGTGTGACTTGTCTACAATGTGATAGGATCTAGCAGGGCCAAGGAAGACCTTGCCCGCTCACCCAGTGGTTGTCAGGGGTGATGAGAGAGGTAGCACCGTGGAGACCCACAGACCTGTCCACCAGGCAACTCCCCCCACCCACCAGCACCACTGGAACACCCGTCTTCTCCGTCTGATGTGGCCAGCCACACACCACCATAGGTCAGAGAGGAAAAATACTATTCCATTGGTAAGACACAGTACACTATTATACTACTGCAGTACAGTACACACACCAGACGTATATACCTTCACACAGTCGATGCCACGCTCTATCATCTCCCGTATGTGGCCCACGGCTCTGTACACCAACATGGGGCTGAGAGAGTCCAATACGGAGGCTGGGACCTGGCAGATATTACCAGGGGCTACCCCAGCCGCCACAGCCACGTCGGTTGCAGTGCAGGTACGTCCCACCGAAGCACAGTGCCTCCGACATGAGCTTGTGACCCACACTGTGGCCTAGAGTCAGCTTTTTCTGTAGACAGAGGTTGCAGAAAGCAGTGTTTGTACTCACCCATTGTAGATCAGCGGGACAGTATAAAGACTGTGTGGTATATACTCACAGAGGTGCTGTCCCAGAGGCAAGTGGAGCCTCCTCCTAACTCCAAACTGAGGACATCCGGCATGGAGAAGTTGGTCCTTACCCCACCCACCTGCACAATAACATATACAATTATAGTTCAACAACAAACACAGTTGTAGGTTAACAGTTGTGCGGAAGTGCCTTCTTTATGACTAGACTGCCATCAAAACACAGTATAGAGGGTTTCGTTGTCACCGCTGTTAGATGCTGCTTCACAAAGAGTTTTAGTATAATATACAGATGCCGTAATAAGTGCATTAACCTTACACAGACGGAATAAGGGTTTTGTTGTCGGTTGATTTCCTTACCTTACGCTGAGAGGAGGCCTCGCGAGGAAACCCGTTCTTGAGGACACCAATGTCGGTCGTGGTACCTCCGATGTCTACAACGATGGCGTCGCCGAGACCAGAGAGGTAGGCCGCTCCACGCATGCTGTTTGTGGGACCAGAGGAGAACGTGAAGACTGGGAAACGAACCGCCTCCTCTGCACTGTCAAAGACAAGAAAGAGAGAGAGGTGCAGAGTAAGTGAAAACTTGATTTCAAATGGGCATGATGCTACATAGGTAACCTGATTATACTAGGATACATAAGTACTACATAAGTACTACATTACTTAGTAAACTGTGTGCTGTGTGACAACATAGGATCTTACACACCAAGTTGAATAATGCAATACTAACTACCTGCTAACCAAAAACTTCAACTTCATCATCATAGGCTCACAAGTGATTTTTTAAATAAAAACTCTTCTAGACATTATCTCATTACCTGATGAGTGTTCCGTCGTTCTGGGTGAGGTAGAAGGGACACTTGAGGCCCAGATCGTCCAGTGCAGTGCGGAAGGCCTGGATGGTCAGCTGTGCCAGTGGCTTCAGAGCCTCGTTGAGGATGGCTGCGTTCTCCCTCTCCAGTAGACCGAGGAGACCAATCTGAGAGAAAATTGGGGGGAGGGAGGAGAGAGAGGAAGAATAAAGCAACTTTCTCTTACGTACCTACTACCCTGCAGTAGTGTGACAAAGAAAATACCGCTGGCCCACTAAAATGTATGGCACCGCAGGTTGTCAGAATTGGTGATCTTGTGGGAATAGACGTGCAGCTATAGACCTTGTGAGACAGGGTGCAGGTGATGCCGGGACACTCTGACTGTATGATCTCGGCAGCTCGCCGTTCCTGGTTGTTGCTGGCCGGGTCGTCGTGCGGAGAGAACACTCCGCACACAGCGACGTTCCAGACCGGCGGCTGACGCTGGGAGATGAGCCTCGCGACTCTCCGGAGCTCGCCCTCGTCCAGCTCCGCGATGGAGCGGAGGTCGTACTCGAACCCACCGGCCACCATGTGGACTCCGCCGCACAGAATATCGCGGAGGTCGCCGGGAAAGTCGCAGAAGGGAGCGAGGGAACGGGACGCGCTCCCGCAGAGACGGACGACCGCGACGGGGGCCAGGCGCGACCGATCCCGAGCTACGACCGCGTTCACGAAGTGAGTGGTTCCGATGCAGACGCGGGAAACGTTTTCCACGACCGTCTCCCTCGTCAGCCCGTCCACCAGACCTTCGCCTAGAGCAGCGCGGATGGCGTTGACAATGCCGCTCGTCTTGTCCTCCTCTGTGGGCCGCTTGGCCGCACCCACCACGTTCTTGTCACAGAGGACGACTGCGTCTGTGTTTGTGCCTCCCACGTCCACTCCGATCACGTATGAAAGACCTGACTGAGCCATTGCAGCTAGTTGCTGTGCTGCTTGTCGAGCTCGCTGCTTTCACCGTTGCAGAAAAGGTTCAAAGTTCATGTGCAGCGGTCTCATTCTCATACCAGTCCCGCCTTTTGGACTAGGTCCCAGTCTGCGTTGCTTGGCAACGAAACATTGAATGCGCGCACAGTATAAGCTGAGCTGCTGCAGCTTGCATTCATTGATGCACTGAAGGAGGTCGTCTTTTTTCGCATGCAGTTGCAGCTTGCATTTTGAGTCTGCACCTGGCCCACTGACTACCTGATAACACATGGCTACTGTAGATGAGCTGTACGGACCCCAGAGGACCCTCGCCAGAGACACCGCCAAGCGACTTTTGGAGAAGGATCACGTGAGGTGCAACTTTCAGCGCGGGATCGAGCGGCAGAGCAGCCACCAGACCTTCCTCACGGAGACCGCGCACTCATTCAGGGTTTGCAAAACACAGCCAACGAATCCCTGCATACATATCACGTTGTCAAATTTTATTCTCATCTTACAGGGGCATGGAGCAGCTGACTTGGTGTCTTCTCTACGAGACAGAGCAAGCAGATCAGACCCTGGCTCCCAGAACGCCACTCACCTCAACCTGGGCTCTGACATGTCTCCCAGGACTACCGTGGTCCGCTCTGACTACACTGCAAAACCTACCACTAAGGTATGTATGTACTTACGTTTGGTTTGGGGAAATTTAAATTCTGTAAAATTCTGCTGTACCTCTCGTGCAGTTCCAGCAAGTGATCCCCGAAGGTGTTCATGACATTCACTTGGCTGTGAGTATTCCTATAATACACCACTACACTTTAAACTTCTCTACTGATGCATTCATATTGAACTACACGGATTGTGATTTTTGCAGGACATGGTACCAAAATATATGGTCGACAAGTCATTTGGAAAGAGCCTCTACTGTTCTGACTTTAATGGTGAAAAAGTACGTCAATCTCTCATTCACACCACTACATCTCTATGACCAGCAGGCCGTAGTGAGAACTCTTCTGTCGTAATCACAGAGCTATGGTGACTGGTCCAGCCGTGCAGCCAGAGAAGGTCTCGAAGTCGGAAGGAGACACAAGACGACAGCCTACCAAAAGTCAACCCATTTCCAGCTGGGAAGTGACCCACCCGAGTGAGCCCTGACTACTGCTTCCAGTTTAGAATGCCGTGAAGAAAATATCTTCATCATAATTATTATGTACTCTTATGCAGGGTAGTGAGTGAGACAAGTCGGTGTTTCGCTGGCAAGAGACCAGAAGTGGTTCCACCAACCTCTAGTCTGGGTGTGGAGGCATCGGGGTCCGCGTCCAACGTGTTCCGATCGGGGGACTACAACTTTCCCTCCCGCACCACCCGCGGCCACTTCCTCACCATTCAGAAACAGGACTACATCCCGAAAGAGCTTGCATCACCGGCTGGTGTACCCACCACCACCGAGAAGCCCTACTCCCACGTCCTACCAAAGTACTACATACACTTTTGATATGTACCGGGAGACTTGTAGCGGGAAAACCTTTTTTGTTGTGGTAGCAAATTTCTCATGAAGACTGCTGATTTCCTGCAAATGTCGACAAAATTTTGTACAGGAAACGCTCATAGAAAGTGTTTCTCTCTGTTTCGCGATGTACAGGTGCAACCTGTTCATTTGTCTTTACTGCTTTGCTTGTGCCCCACTATATCTCGCAGACGAGCTGCGGCCCACGGTCCAGCTCTGAGGTCTCTGCGTCAGCTGCTGGTTGAGGAGAACACTCGCTCCTTCCAGAACCCTCGAGACCCCACCTCCACCAACGTCACCAGAGCTTTCCTCAACTACGACAGACAGAGGTCCCCTTCTCCTGCCCTCTTTTAGTTACTGTCATCACTGTATTATTTTCTGTAGGACTGGGTTCATCACGGAGCAAAGTCTTCGCGGTGTGTGTAGAGACCTGGGGGTTCCCATATCGGAGCTGGAAATCTCTCAACTGATGGCAGAGTCAGTCAACGATCATGCATCATACTGTCTGCATCGGGTTTTTTTCCACCTCACAACGATACAGGTGTGACCAGGACAGGGACGGGAAGATCAGCTATGTGGAGTTCACCAAGTATTTGACAGGTATACACACTGTGATGTGCATCGTCAGCTAGCTAATTTACTCTTGCTTTGTAGGTGTTTTGTTCATGCAATAGCTAATCATTGTTTTTTGGTGAAGTAAAAATAGATCACTCACTGGTCTCCAAATCTCTGTCCGGCCCAGGTCAGAACGAGTCTGAAGACAGACGCAGGGAGGATTTGACCACTACTAACACCAGGACCTACTCTCAGCCTCAGGAGGACGAGGAGAGAGATAAGGATGGCCACGAGACTGACATTCAGAGTGAGATTCTCTATCATACAATTTTTATGACGTACACATTAATGCGGCATAATTAGCTCATTCTGCCTATACATACCATAATCCTCCCCCTGTGTGTGTAGAATACACAGGAGCAGGGTACCAGGACTCGACACACTTTCAGTTTGGGAACGACAATGCCCCATCCTCTTCTGTCTACACTGGAGGTATATAATCTTGCTGTCTGTCTCTCACCCAGCAAGTGTGGGTCACTTTTAAGTTCTTCTAACATCCGTTTTTGCTGCCGCTCTGCAGATTTCAATATGGAGAGTGTGAGAGGTGCCAAGAGGGAACGTGCAGTATCTCCTCTCAGTGCAAAGGTCAGACAGTCTAACATGGTTCTTTGGCTAATGCTCCAGATGTTGTCTCATGTCGTGCCAGCAGGTGATGCACGAGTTTCCAGTCATATCGACTGATTCCAGCATGGCTACCACCAGCCGCAAGGATTTCGTCACTCACGATGTGACGGCACTGGCCAGGCAGAGGAGAGACGCCCTCAATACTAACAGAGTGAGTCTCTTCCGTTCTCCTTGTGACAGTACACTTGTGACAGTACACAAGGACAAAATTTAGCGAAAGAATTTCTATTTTTAGTAACAGATTCTAAATCCGTACTGAGTCTTGCTCTGTGTATTGCTACAGTCACGCCATGAGAAACTAGCTGTTGAGTTGAGCTGTGGAAAAGACAAGATCAGTGATTCCCACAGAAAATCAGGTCCATCAACCTACAACTTTTACCACACACCTTTTATTCACAACCTCACACACAACCTACATAGTCATGAGTTCGTCGTACGTTGCTCCTCCCCCTGGAACCCGGCGAGAAGGGCCCGTAAACCCCGCCCCTCACGACTACCGCCACCTCGAGAGTGATCGAGCTCTCCTCCATCCTCCACCTGGTCCTCCCTCCTCTGAGAACATGGTCGGTGAACCTTCCGAAACAGGACCATTCGAAAAGAGAATCCCTCCATTAAGAACACTTGGTTATGCCCCATATCAATACATCAGTGTATTATGTTACCTCTGAATAAGAAGACGCTTCAAATGTCACCACAACGTGTCCTTTATTCAGAGGTTTTACTGTACTCCCACCCCTGATGCTCAATATAATTATACTGCTATAGTATGAAGCTTTTTTTTGCCCTGATTCACAAAGACTCAGTTTGGAGTTCCGCTGAAGAGTGAGGAGGAGGCGAGGGAGAGAGTGAGGGAAGCTCGCCAGGAGAGGAACTCTCGCATCAGAGACAGCAAACTGACCCACATCGTCCTTGGCTTCAACTCTGTCCCAAAACTGTCAGAGAAAGTAAGCCAAACGTGTAATACGGTGGTAGCGTACAGGGATCAACGCAGTTGGGGCTGATAGGGACATCCTGTATATACATCTTTTCTCCTGTGTCGTGTGTGTTGGTGTAGATGGCAGAGTTTGGAGAGAAGGAGGCAGTAGATCCAGATCTCCCTGCAGCCGGCAAACCCAATGGCCCCACTCAGGGGTATTCTGTTCTCAGTCACGAGTGAGCCCCTAGTCATTTTCATTATTGGCCCCCGAACTCCCCTCCCTATACATGTAACTGATTGGACTGTGTTCCAGATGTGTATCAGAAGAAGGTGGTCATGAGTCAGTGGCGGAAGAAGAGGACTCTACCTCTGCTCTACAGGGAATCCTGCAGCAGAGAAACTTCCTCAAGTACACTTGCATTTGGCAGCGTCTTAGCGGGATTTGCACTATTAGCTTCATATCTCCTTCTCCCTCTGTGTGTGTGTGTGTGGCTAGGAACCGCAATCCCAGGGATCCACTGAACATTAACCTCAGAAAGGCATTTCTGGACTATGACAAGTCCCTGTGAGTCCACACCAGCTATACACTCTGCACAAGGACTAGTACAAAAGCCTGTTTATTGCAGGAGTGGCAGCATCAGTGCCGAAGATGTGCTTGCTGTCTGCCGGGAAATGAAAGTGGAGATAACTGAGTCACAGCTAGAGAGCCTTCTGAAAAGGTGAGCTCAAATATGTAACTACGTTAGCTTAATTTGCGATACACAAAGTCGTCTGTTCACGTGCAGTATGTATATACGTGTAGGAATGCTCAGTGTCATTGGTTCTCAGGTGTGATAGGAACGGAGATGGTCAGATAGACTACCATGAGTTTGCTCTCCACCTGTCGCGACACCAGGAGCCCTCTGGGTCCGTAGCCAGGCCTCGCCACACTCCCTCTCATACCTCAACCACCAGACTCCACTTCAGAGACCCTGCAACTCAGAAGTATGAGCTGCTACGTACCTGTGCATGTTTCCCTCTAGATACTTGTACTCCACATAACTTGTAGAAAGTACGCACACATGTGCTGGTTCAAGCGTGCTACATTCACTGCCCCAAATTGTGAGCAAAGTTTATTATCTTTCAGACTCACAGCCATGCAGCGAGTTGTGATGGAACAAGATGCTAAGAGATTTACTCCACTGCTTCCTACACACTTCTATAATGCTGAAACTGATAATGGTAAGTGTGGTGAATGATGTTGTTTGTATACAAAGTGAATTGTTGCTGCTGTTTTGTCCAGATTATTTGCTTAGCACAACCAGAAAAGACTTCAAACCACCTGCGGAAGCACTCACTTCCGTGACATAATTATAATCGTCATTTTATCTCGCGTTGCATAGCGTAGACGAGGTGGCCGAGTGGTTAAGGCGATGGACTGCTAATCCATTGTGCTATGCACGCGTGGGTTCGAATCCCATCCTCGTCGCTAACTTTTTCCTTTTTTAACACCACTATCTTTATACTCTGAACATTAACCCAGATAGTAACTTTTTGGAAAAACATATTTACATTTTTACAAACAACACACATAACTTATGATGCTTCTGGAAGGATGATAGTGTATGATTTCAGGTGGTTTAAAATTAGTGAGTGAACGTCCAATGCTGACAGGTGACAAACAAACAAAACCTATGGCGTGCAACACAGACACAGACAAAAATGTGACTGAAACATACAGCGTGAACACCTAGCTAAAGTTTGTCGAGTAGTAGAATTCGGTTCAGCCTCTGCTGGCTCTGTGGGGAGAGGGTGGAGGCGCAGTCCAGGAGACTCTGCCCCATCACGTCGTACAGAGTGTGGCAGAGAGCGACAATGGCCTCCTTCACCTCGTTGGAGCCAGGTGGCTTCCCCGCCATGAAGTGCCACACCACAGGCAGGATCTGCCTCACCACCAGCCTGGGATTGTAGCTGTGGATCACTTCAGCCAGCTCTGCATGAAATGGGGGGTGTTTATGATTATCAACAGATGCAGAAGGAGCAAGTGTATATGTATGTATGCATACCTGCGAGTTTATTGATCATGATGGGTTGGATCCTGGCATTGCCGTGTTGAGAATGTGTGGCTATTGGTTGAATTAGATGTGCCGGATCTAAGATAGAAAAAGAGAGAGCGACGAGAGAGTTGGGAGATTTACTACGCAGTCCTCAACGAAGCACACAATGCCATCTCTATACACATTCCCCGAGACATCTCTACATTAGTGACACGATCGACTCACCAATGCACTGTGAGATGAGGTCAAAGACGGTAGTTGCGGCGGAAAGAATGGAAGAATTCTTGGAGGCCAGGTTGGGCATGAGAGCCTTGATAATGTTGGCACTGAGAGGTGCCAGTAGACTGCCCAGGAGAGGGACCATGTTGCTGAAGGCCTGGAGTGCCCGCAGGTTCACCTTGCTGTTCCGGTCTGTCAGCCTCGGGTTGAAAGCATCAAAACCTGTCAGGAAAGACGTCATCGTCAATCCACAGAGTTGAGAAACCCCAGTCTGGGGTAGTTGTGTGTGGGCTCGGATTTAAAAGGAATGTGCCGGATGAATTTAGAACCCGAAACTATTTCTTTTGTTTAATGATATTGTGTTCTTATGTATATACATGTACTGCAACATTCCTTTTAAGGTTGGCATGTGAAATGGAAGTGGAAAGAGGGCATTTCTATGATTCCACACATAATATTATAGCTAAACACCTTATTCATGTGAGGCTCCAGAGCCTTCGGATGCCGATCCACAAACTGCTCCAAGACGTTGATGGCCTCCTGGCGATCCTCCCAGTTACCGGCGTTCAGTCGCTCCACCAAACGATCTGGGAGGGGAGGGTTCTCCCCGCAGTGGACGGCTACCGATGTCCTCGGTCCCCCCGTCCCCTTCGCATGGCTAGTGGCCCTCGAGGTTCCCCCCGTCGGGTGTCTGGAGCGAGTGGTGGGAGTGGCCTCACTTGGAGGATCCCCTACTCCCTGCAAAACAGAACAATGATTTCAATTATACAACTAGTGTCAGTAGCCGAAAGTATTCCCATTGTAACATTGTAAAGTGTAGCCAAAAGCAAATAGCAGCATAATATGTATACGAAGTGTCATTAGCAATAGGTGAAGGAAAGAGAAAATGTTGATTGTCGCTGGCTCCACCCCACAATGTGGCGCCTCAAGACTAATCACGCAGGACATGCCTACACTTATGGAGAAATTGGAACAAAATTCACAGACATGCACACCTCCCCGTCGCACTATTCACCCTCCTGGCATGTGGGTCCAGCAATATTCAACACACTTTGGTATGCCGATTAGATTAGTATAGTACATGTACTAGCTTACAGGATATTCTAAGAAATGTGTGTCTGATTCATGTGTATGGGACGTGTATGTACAGTACTGTATAATGCAGAACACACATAAAGAACGTCATGTACCTTGACTCTGATCATTTCCACAGCGTCTCTCATCTTTGACCATTGCTGGGTGTTCAGAGTTCGCGAGGCAATCCTCTCAAAGTCAGGCTCTGTCATGAGGTGACTGAGGCACACTCGGCCATAGAACCTACACACACACACACACACACATTTGAACTGAAGGCCTAGAACCACAAGATCGGGAAAGTGCAGCGGGTGTATTACCATTGGGTCTAAAATTGGATTGGGGCATGTTGTACGAAGCAATATTTAGTATGGTGTTGCACCTTGGATCAGCAGTGGCGTCGCCGACAAAACCGAGTGTAGCAATGAGTGCCTTCTCCAGGATGTCTCTGGAGGCATGAAGGAGCTGTGGGAGGGCCGTATCGCTCCACCGCCTGGCTCAGGAACTGGGCTGCCGCCCGACGCACCTGGGAGTTGCGGTGACTGTACGTGGAGAGGAGGAGAGAGAGAGAGAGAGGTTAGTAGAGGGATAGAGGTGAGGTAATAGAGTGGAACTCACTTGAAGCCTCCTGCAACGATGGCCAGGAGCAGTTTCCCTGGTGTGGCGTGCTGGGCAATCTCGTGCATTGTTTTCTCGACGTCCTCTCGCAGGAACGCATTACACTCTCCTGTCTTGTGCAGCAGTACCTTCACAACCCTATCCAGCTCCTATCACAGGTACACAACGTATTATAAGGAGTATAGTGTGTGGTGCATGTAAAGTGTAAAAGGAAGGAGTAAAGACGAAAAAACAGACTGAACCACACCCTTCCATACACATACAAATACTGCATGCACACATGTACAACTATGCACTACATGAGAGTGGGGCATCACATGAATTAATGGTGCTCACAGGGTCCATGTAGTGACCAGCATAGACAAACACATCTCCCAGACAGCTAATGGCAGCTCGGGCCACTGATGATCGGAGGTTCTCCACCTTTGTGAACACATATCACACGGCTCAAGCGAGTGATGTTAGTGTGATAGAGCTCTTACCTCTTTGACTACAGCCAGTGTCACGTTGTGGAGGTCGGGGATGAGTCTCTGTGTGTGGTAGGCAGCCAGTCGTCTGACTCCCAACAGCCCATCGCACTTCTTGTTCCAGTCGCTGTCGTCCAGCTGCGACAGCGCTTCTCGCAGCCCACGCTCGGGGCTGGAGAATGGCTGGAGATCGGGAAGACTCCTGTTCATTGGAGATCCATTTTCCCCCGTCGTCGCTGTTGGGAAGCCGTCATCGCAGCTCCCTCGACGTCTGTGGTGGTGTCCGTTGCTCTGCGCCAGGCGGTGGTCCTCTCTGGTTCCCCTGGTTCCTCCTATCACTGCGTACTTGGAGTGTTTCTTGCGCGACTGGCGGGGAACTTCGGGGAGAAGCCTCTCGCTGCTCCCATCCGGGCTCTCGTCGGTGAGAGTAGCTCCACCACGAGTGGTTCCAGTGGGAGAGTCATCGTGTCCGCCCATAGCCATCTTTGTCTCGTGGCTTCCAAACATGAAGGCAGGCTCCGACTGTCTCTGCTTCCTGCCCCTGGCCCCGCCTCTGGCTGGCGGTACTGCTGCCGGTGGAGACAGCTCTTTCTCGGGTGAGAGTTGTGCCGGAGGAGGTGGAGATTTGACTCCGTTGACCTCCATCTTGATTGTGTTTGTGCCTCCCCTCTCTATTGAGGGGCGTTGGCCTTCGGGACCCAGAGCCCCCGCCTTGCGGAGTCCCAGTCTTGACCGTCGCCTTTCGACCGTCTTGGCGACTCGGAAGAGGCTCGTTTCTCTCACAGGTCCTCTGATTCTGACTGTACTCAGTATCAGTGACATGTTTTCTTGCACCTCTTTCACCATTGTGGAAGGTTGGGTCGGACCCCTCCGAGCTGCCAGAGCTTCGTTGCTCCGTTTCTCTTCGTCTTCTTCTTGGTCTTGGTCGGTATCTCGGGGGGAGGTGGGACGGAGCAGTCTGTGCCAGAGCCTGCAGAGTCTGCCAGGAGACTGACGAGGGGTCGGCATGGGCAAGCGACTCGCCAAGAGTGAACGTCTTGTTGAAGTCCTTCTCCACCCTCACACCGGTTCTGGCCCTCTTCTCGGCTGCCTCGTCAGCTGCTGCCGCCTCCTCCCTCTTCTTCTGTCTCCGTTTGTGACTGAGTCCAACGGGGATTTCATCGTGTGGAGCTTGTGGAGAATAGGACTGGGAACAGACGGCTGAGTGATGCGGGGCCTTGCGAGACCCCTTCTCCTTTCTGACTTGCTCCAGTTTCTCAACCTTCAGGGTGTTGTGAAAGATTGCGTACATGTATACTTGGGGAGCACACATAATAAAAGGGGAGCCAGTTAATTGCTACTTTCGTAAAACACAAAGTCTGTGGTCAACACTCAGATCCTCCGTTGTTATAAACAACAGCTTTCTCATATAAAGTGTAGCTCACCTCTGTTGTCCTGGTGGACTGGGCAGGTTCCTTTGGGTGGCGACAGAGAGAGGTGAGTGAGGAGGAGAGGCTGTGCTCCAGTCCCGTGGTGTCCTCGGGGACACTGGAGTAGTAGTAATCGTCCTGGAGCGTGGTGTTGGCACACATCAGGAACTCCTTCTCCGTCTGAGTCGGACTGTTCTCCTGGGAACTCTCCTGCAACAAGTCACACAGAAAATCATACGCACACTCAATGGTTGGAAAAATATTTTCGGGGAAAGTTTATTTGGGGATCACTGTAAGAATACATGAGACTACACCTGCCTTACTGGCCCAAATCATAAAAAACTACCATCAATATATGTTTTACCTGTTGCTGGTGCTGTTGGAGGAGGGAGGTCCTGAGTTTCTTCTCTTCCTGTCGCTGCTTCATGATGATGGGGTTGCGAGCCCGCGGCTTGGAAGGAGGACGAACAACGCTCGTCCGGACTGGATCCCCAACTGTGCAGAAAAACACTCGCCACATGACAGCACATCGAGAGGAAAAAAGAAGAGTTTCATACATACCTCCTCCAAAAGCCTTGAGAGGGTCAGCAGTGATCAGCTCTGAGGGTCCTGCTGGAGCACCAGTCACCGCCGGTCCCTTGCCTCGAGCTCTGACGCGAGAGCGAGGCCACGATTCGACCAGCTCAGAGGGAGGCACGGCTGGGGGGAGCACCCCAGACACGCCAGACTGAGCCTCATCTGACACATGTAGCTGGTTGTGTCTACTGCTTGTCGGACTGCCAATCGGGCCCAGTCGAGGTGACCCGTTGCCAAAGTTGACCGTCTTGTGTTGCTGACCTCTTGTCGGGAGGTCACGGTTGGCGACTCCACTCGGGAGACTCTGGTGTCGGCGGGAAAATTTGGTCCCCGGGGGAGGGATCGGTGGGGGCAGTGGCCCTCCGCGGGACGGAGGGGGAACCATGTCGCGAAGGTCTTGGACGAAGAGGGAGGATTCCGAGCTGTTGACTGGGCTGCGGGGTGGGCTGCGTGGTGGGCTCCGTCTCTTCTCAGAGTCAGAGAGTGGCGCCAGCTGTCGTCTGCCGGTCGGAGGTCGATGAGATGAAGGAGATCGGCTTCCCTCCTTTGCAAACAGCTGCTTGGACGAAGGTGGTCGCTGGTGCATCATCAGCCGGGAAGTTGCTGCATTCTTGGAAGCTTTCGGCAGTGTAAAGGTAGTGTTCAGATCTGCAGTAGTGTCCTGCATGTATAGAAAAGTGTGTAAATATACTCAACTGCACTAGGTGTACTTGAACAGACTCACATTTAGGTGACTGTTACTGATGTCGCCATTTTTGCTCCTCTCGGCTTCGTCAATCTCCCACGGCAGTTTCTTGGAGGCACTGCGAAACGGACGCAGCCTTGCCTCCTTCCTAGCCACGGAGCTCTCCTCTAGACCATTGGACACCGGGTTTCCCTCTCCACCGAGGGCTCCGCTCCTGATCCATTCCACGTCGGGGCCGTGTTGGGAGAGCGGGACATCGACGCCAACCACCGGCATGCCGTACTCGACCAGCCCGTCTTCTCTCAGACGAGGGGGGCCACACTCTCGAACGATGCGACACTCGAGGGCCTTGAGCGCCGCCAAGCTGTGGGGAGCATTGGGGGAGTGGTGTCCGTTCTTGGCAGCAAAGGACATGACTTGTCTCAGATCTTCCTCTGAGTTGCACAGAGATGTGATCTTGGCCATGCACTCCATGCAGGCCTGACGGACGTGCGGTTTTCCGTCACTCAGCAGGGAAACGACGTCCCTGGCCAGCTGGGTGAGGCGAAACTCAGAGCGAGGGAAACGGATGAGTGCAGCCGTGAGCACGTTGAGCGATTCCTCTCGCACCTTGGACTGCTTGTGCCTCAGTCCGAACCGGGTGATCTCGGTCAGCACGTCCTGCGGCTGACTGTAGTGCATTAGGTGCACCAGGATCCTCATCCCTGCCTTTTTCAGGACGTGCTTGTTCCTGCCCATCTTGACCAGCACGGCCTCCACCAGGGACGAGATGTGGGGACTCAGGTTGCTCCCTGTGCGCCTGATGAGCGGATCCAGGAGTTGGAGGCCCGCCAGGCAGACCTTGATGTGGCTGTCACCCATTGCCGAGCACGCCTCGTCCACCAGAGACGGGAGGTTGTCTTCGAGTACTGTGGAGTTCTCCACCGACTCGACGGCCGCTTGCAGCCTCTCGACGCCCAGCGCCCGGTTCTTGCCGTTCGTCTTGTCTTGCAACAGGAGAAGATCGTCGTAGCGAAGGAGGTCTGGGCAAAGCGAACCGCCAGGGAGCTCGTCCTCTTGCGCAGAAAACGCCCTGAAGTCGGCCTTTTCTCCCATCTCCACTGGTGCCACCGGTGGCGTGGATCGGGAGGGTGAAAACTGCGAGCCTCCGTTCACTCGGGATCTGCCGATTTCCAGCGAATCGTTCAGCGAGTGATTCAGGCGCTCGACGGCCATGTTCTTCTTGCTTATTTCTCTTGCGGGAAGCATTGAGAGATGCACACTCAGTAGAACCAACACGCAAAACTTGCTTTTGAGAAAGAGACACCTTTACCCGTTCGGTCGCTGAAAGAGTCCGATAGAGTCTGGAGCGCGTGGTGTATCCAATGCCAATATAGCGTCGCGGCCGACTCTACGCACGCCCAGCGTCGCTTGGATACTTCTCCACGAGACGGCCGGGGGCCCACTAATCTCGCTCGTCCACCATCAGAAACGTTTCACTGGTCTTCTTTGCAGAGCAAACTCATGGAAGGTTGGGCTGGCTAGCTGAGCTCGTTTTGCAACTGTGTGTGTGTAAACAGCAGCTGCCCCGCCTACACGCCTCCCTGCAAACCTGTCCCCAGACCATTCCACCGCGCGCTGAGACGGAATCCGGACGAAGGAAATTAGCAAATTTGCCACGCCCATCGTCCACGTGGAAAAACGCCGCTCACAAAGACGCTTGACAAAGAGAGAGATATGGCACAGCTAACAGTCAAAAAGCGGAGAAAGTACAGCAAGAAGAGCAAGAAAAACCTCAGGAAATACACGGACATACGCGACGTGGAAGAGTTTCTGGAAGAGCAGAGATTCCAGGAGAGAACTGGGTAGGTAACGTCTATATATGAATGTGTACGAATGTGTTGGTTGTTTGTGTGTACAGTGGACTGGTATCTGAGAAGAAAGACGAGCAGCTGTTCTTTGTTCAGAGTGAGGCAACTTCAGCAGAGGACAGGAAGAAGCCCTCTAGGGCCGAGTTACGCAAGAGGCCACTCAGGAGCCTCTCTCATCTCTACGGTGACCCTGTCATTAACGGGACAAACGAACCCACGAACCCGGTCGGAAGTGTCGCCAATGTGCGTGAGGCCAAGGCTAGGAGGTTGCTGTTGGGAGGGACTGCAAGTGACTCCAGTGAGGATGAGGCAGAGTTTGACGCGGGCTCACGGTTCTCTGTAAGGAGACAGAGGGAGACCAGAGAGCTGGTCAGAGCCGTCCACAGGAGGTTAAAGAAGTCAGCGCTAAAGCCTGTTATGCAAGATATATGGGCCGTCGAAGGCAACAGTGAGCTCTATACTCTCGATAACGTATTCGCTCTTGACTTGGATGTCGCGACGCTTTCTGCAGCATTATCAGCCAAAGATGTTCCAGATGAGCATTTCCTAAGAGTCACAAGGAAGCTGCCAGTAAAGGTATATACTAACCCTTGCACTACATAGTGACCCCTGTAAATTGATAGTCTCAATATGCGATGTGTAGAAGCCGGTGTCAGTGGGTGGTAGACCGTCAGGACTGGACAGTGTTCCCCTCCCACCTCCTGGGTCCTCTTACAACCCTGCCTTTGACGACCACCAGGTACTGTATAAAATGGTAGAGCAGCTACAACATAATACATTACACTCTCCTGTATGTATATACCTTAGCCTGTGGTATATATATAATGGCCATTTGCGAGTGAAGTATGTCAGTCCGCCAGCGTGTTCAAGAGCAAAAAGTTAGTGGGTCCACCAAAATACTGCATTTTAAATTTTTGCAGCAAGATGTGTAATGTATAATGGTATATATGTTAGGAGCTGTAGAGGAGTTGTGTAATGTGGCATCTGGTAATGGTATGTTAGGAGCTGTTGAGGAGTGCAGTGGATGTGGAGGAAGCTCGACTGGCAGCTGACATGAAGATCAACAAGAGACTGGAGGCCATGGAGCCCATGACAGCCACTCAGAGAGAGGTGGGCGGGGCCAATCATCAGTCCTCAGACTGCTAAAATACGCCAACCTGTGAAGATTGATCCACCTTGAAGAATATAATGCGAAGTGTTTTCCAACCCCTGAAGATTAACCAACCCCTAAAGATAGACTGTAATTATTCTAACCTCTGCGAGTGTCACTTTTCTCCAGCCTTTGAACAGTACAATACTGATATTGTGTTTCTTTCAGAAAGTGTGGCAGGACGAGATGATAGAGGGGTTGATTGAGGAGAAGGAGGAGGAGGAGGAGGAGGAGAGGAGACAGGGGACGTAGTGGTGGCTCACAGGAGACCAACTGTGGCTGGAGAGAGGAAGACACACCAGAAGAGGAGGAGGGAGGAGGAGAGGAGCCTGAAAGTGTGTCCCCTAAGTCTATTTCACGCAAACACTTGCGTACTGCATCGCAGTAGAGATTCAATAGGGTGGATGAGCTGATTTAGTGACACTAGCTAGCTTTATGTTGTGAAAACACCTGGAGTTCGAGTAAACATCGTGAGCTTGAGACTTAATGTGCATTCATGCATGTTTCAGGAGAAGCAGAAACTGGCTGCAAAGATGCTAAAGTCCAGGATGAATGATGTCTACAGGTATATTATACATCTACTCAGAGTTTTGTATGACTGAGATTGAATTGTGCTGCAGGCTGCGGTCATTGAGGAAGGCCATAGAGAAGAGAGAAGGAGAAACTATTGAGAAGAGGAGAAAAAGACAACTCTCAAAGAAGGAAGAGTCGTTGCATACGAAGCGTCTCGGCAAGCTATCGTATCCACTGCTACTAGTAGATTATATTATACATCTGTGTCTGTGAATTTATGCCGATTTCCAAGTTACTGTGGCATTTTTGCACTTGATCAATGCTACAAAATTCCCATATGATGGTTTCGCTGTGTCAACTTTGTCTTGTTGGGAAGGCCTTAACGGCTACTGCACCCAGTTATGTGGATGCTGAGATCGATGTACAACTGAGCTCCGAAATCACTGGAGCACTGAGGAGTCTCAAGGTATATATAGTTAAATGTATGGACATGTAATTCTGCATGACCTTTGTCATTCTCTACACTACGTACTCATGGAATATGCCGTACTATGTATGATGACTGTGTACTGTACTGTATTGTGTGTGTGTACATGTCTATAGTGTGAGGGTAGTCTGGCTAGAGACAGGTACAAGAGTCTGCAGAAGAGAAACGTCATTGAGCCAAGGGAGAGAGTCAGGTATAATATATATACTAACTCACTGTGTGTAGTTTTTGATTTTGTGTGTGTATATATACCACCGTTGCAAGCAGAACGGTGTTTTTCGTGTGTGCACGTGTGTAGTTGCACATTGATGCATGGTTGGAGTTTAGGTGTGTGAATATGTCTCGTGTTTTTAGGGCACACCGCAAGTACAAGCTGAAGGTCAAGGAAAAGCGATCGAAAAGGTACACACACCCCACTCTCTACTAGTGCTGACTCTTCGCAATTCGTACTCTTCAAGGTCTCTTCAAGATCATTTCACCCCCACAATTCACATACAGGTTACCGGAAGAAATCGGAGCGAGTTACTTCCACAGCAGAAAGTAATTTTAATTTTTATGTGAACGTCTATGTATATGCAATAATATTATAATACCATGGGTGATCACTTGGTGGAGTGCGATGGGCAATTGTAAAACTCTATTTCGACAAGCTCCTTAGAACGTCTTCAGGTATCTTTGCCCTGAGGTCTTCCAGACCCTTCATGCCAACCAGGACCCCCTGTGAGTTCATGCAGCGTTGAACGAACCCCGATTGGTCCCCTGTGCTGGGGACGGGGGTCACGGGGTCGTACACGAGGTCCCGCCCGTGAACGTCTGTCACGGCTCCGCCCGCTGCTCTAACGATGGCGTCCCCGGCACAAGTGTCCCATCTCTTTGTACCCGGGCTGGGGTAGATGTAGGCGTCGACCACGTTCTCGAGAACCATCAATATCTTGTTCCCTGCACCTCCAGCTATCACCTGCAGACAAATGTATGTGACTTTAGCTTTGTGAACCATGGATGCACATACAATCCCTCTCTAAAAATTGCGTGAGCCAGTCACACAGACTGGCATAATATATCCTGGTTTGAAAAGCGAATTTTCCTCCCATGAAACATACCTATATGAAGAAAGCTAACTGTGGTGACACTTACACCAGGGCCAACAAGCCGGAAACAGCTGTCCAGAGCTTGCATCTTTTTTCTCTTGGCATCACATGGTGTATTTTGTTCATGTTTAAACTACATCACCACATACTCTTTCATGCAAAATTTTTTAATGCATTTTGCTGAGTGCAAGTAATCGTCCCAAGTGATAGAGTGGGCTGCTGCCTACCTTCTCCTTGGCCTGAAGACATTCGGTGACTCTCTCCACAGTCCCCGAGTAGTGAGACCGAGACACCGCCAGCCGGAGTCCCCCATGTTCGGGGGAGGGGCGGGGTACAATACCCCGTACCCCGAGCCCGAGCATACCCCAGACCGTGCGACCCTGCTGAGCTGTCGGGAGGCCAGCCATGGTGCCGTAGAATGGCTGGTGAATGACTCCTGCAACTGGCTTTCCCTCCACTGCTATCCCCACCAGCACCGTCACATCTTCATGGAAACCTGCCAGCAAGCAAACAATAAGATTTCTGCATATATATACCTCAGTGGCAGTTTCAGACCCTATTATGAGTATATACCCAGTTTGAAGTTGGACTACAAGAGTATATACCCACGTGATACAGGGAGTGTTTGGTTGTGTAGTTACAATTAGCATTCTGTAGCTGATCAAGATGGAAACCTGTGGCCTGGTATTGTAGTAAAACAGAGCGAGGTGTAAATGTGTTGTGACCTTGACCAATGACACCAGGATGCCATGTAGGATATCTTGAAGCCAGTTGTTGGACATGCACATCCTCTCACACCCCCCACATGTGCTAGTCAGGTGATAGTTTTTGCCCTTATGTGATTACGTGAACCAACACAATCTCATGCACCCATCGCATGTTACGCTGGTGACCATCATGTATGAAAACACACAGAGAAGAAATAATGTGTGGTATTCATTCCACTGGATATCGTGCTCACATACACTCTAAACCTGGATGAGAATGTTGCATTGTGAGTGGCTGTACCTTTGGTGAATTCTCCTGTCCCATCCAGAGGATCCACCCATATAACCACCTGTACAAGATGGGAGAGAACTTTATACAGAGAGATTTTTTCCAGTTTGAAGATCCACTATCTCCAGAATTAACTGCATTGTGGAATGTATACCAACTAATTCAGGGTGCGTGTGTGTGTGGAAGGGGGGATTGCATGCAAGCTTGGGGAAAGAAAAGGCGGCCCTATTATTATCAGGGATGTGCCCCCATAGTTTAATAATAATGGCAGTGGTGAAAAGTAGCTCACGTCTTTCTCGTCGACGGAGGTGAGGTCGGGAGGACACGCCTCTCTCAGGACCTCCGGAGAGTCCTCTCTAACCACTGCCTCCAGGTCTGCAGCTGTCGGTGGAATAGACTGTGGACAGACACACAGAGAGGGGAATGAGAATGAGACCAGAATTTCTAAAGACATACTACTTACATACCCACCAGATGCTAACATACCTACTCAGCATCCATAGCTACGTCTGAAAATGCACCAATAGGCATTGCATGTTCTCCCCCCCATGTCTTCAGCATGCAGAGACCGTAGAGGGTGTAGCCTGACTGACTGACCTCCTCCCCAATGATGGTGACGTGGGGGAATCGAGTGGTGAGTGTGGCCACGATGCATCGCTCTGCTCTGCGGTCTGCCTCCGTCTGGGGATCATCGTAACCCTGCAGAAACCACACGCACCAGTTTTCACCAGCGCTGGGGAGGCATCGTGCACGACGCGTACCTTGTGCACGACGCCGAGTTGTCCGCTCTTCAGGACGTCTCTGATGACGGCCCCGGCGCGGTTAGCGACGGCCACCGAGGCTGACAGCAGGCGGATCATGAGTGGCTGCTGCTCTGACATTAGACTGATTCACATACGGCGTCGAGAGAGCTATAAATATCCAGGAGAGGATCACTGGTTTCGCGCCCCTACGATGGAGCGATGGAGCCACGCCTCTTTTCTACGTGGAGGCGTGGCTCGACGTGGACTTCGACCCCACCACGTGTAGTAGTGAAGGGTTTACACTTACCATGAGTTTCACGCTCACTCTAGAAGACGTGGAGCGTATGGGAGGCACCAAGGTGAGGAGTGACCCTCATATTCATATGTCTATAACGTAGCGAAAGTGAAACTCGTTGTTTCGCCGTGGGCAGGAAGAGTTTGAAGAGCTGGGAGACGTGGGCAGTGGCAGCGAGATGGAGTTTGGTGCAGAAGAGGAGGAAGAAGAAGAGGATAACCTACAGAGATCAGAGGTTAAGGGTGAAGTATTTGTCATGTACATAGCACTAGTTACTGTGTCACTGTATGACTACAGATTGAGACCTACATCCGCAGTATTGGACTGAACACTGGAACAAATGGAGAGAGAGTGGGTGTTGGTGGTGCAGAGGATAAAGCAGGAGAGAAAGAAAGGAAGCAAACTCTGGAGAAAAAAATTGGCAAAGAAGTCAACAAGAGAGCGAAAAAAGAGAAGAAAGATGTTGGTGATACAAAAAGACAGCAGGAACCTCAAATAACTGCTGAGCCAAAAAATAAGAAAGAGAAAAAGAAAAGTAAGAACAAGAAGATGTCCAAACTGACAGATGGTGAAGGAGGGCCAGGGAGACCCAGCGAGAAGAAGGAGGTGGAGAAACGGCTGCTCTGTCTCTCAATCTCGCCTCAGACCACCAAACTTCTGGTGTCCCCTGACTCCCAGGAGACGTGGTTTGAGCAGGTGTGTCTGTCCACACACTCGCTGGGATGGGATCCACTGGTGTGGGTGCCACATTGAACCCGCTATATATAAGGAGCGATTCCCATTTAGGATTCCTTTCTATAGCAATGGTTGTGACAACCTTAGTGATTGTAAGTGTTGCACTGTATATACTGTGTGTGAGTTAGTGCATGTTCCTTCGCCCCAATTCGAGGCCTTTTGTATTCCCGGTCCCATAGGCTCTCTAAATGATCTCTCGTGTACATATATACAGAGTGCAAGTACTGAGGCAGCGTTCCCAGTCTCGGAGACAGTTCTGACTCACCTCAATTCACTGGCCCAACAACTGATGAACACCGAGACCCAGCTCTATGAGAAATGTAGGCCCCCTGTGTTCAGTCTGTATGTATGTATGTATCATCACATTATGGTGGGACGTGTGTCTCAGTTCGTGAGAAGAGGAAAGGAGCGAGTGACGTGAAGTGGCTGAAAAACGTTCTGTCTTCTGGAACTCTGAGTGATAAAGTGGCTGCACACACTCTTCAAGTTCAGGTAGGTTGAGGGTTGACACGGTTCTATGCCTGCTTTAGCCACCCCTCATTCTTTGTCTCCTTTCTTTCTCCCTTCTCCCCCACTCCTCAACTCCTAAGGAGTCCCCAGTTCACTCCCTGGTCTCGCTGGACTGGCTAATGGGACTGGTGGTAAAAGGAGGTGGAGTTGGGAAAGCCATGAAGGGACTCCATGCCAAGAGAAAAGGCATCCTTGCAACCAGTGAGCAAAGATGCCCGAAAAAAACGTCTTGAAAAATATTCACTCTCCTATGATAATGGTTTCCACAGACACTCTGAAGGAGTTGTGGGCGTCGGAGCTGCTGCCAGAACGCAGGAAACTCAAGTACCTGAACCAGCGACCTCTGGACCGCCTCTCGACATCTTCGTCCACTGGCTCCCTCACCCACCAACAGAGCACCCTCCTGCTTCTCTGGTTCTTCGAGGACCAGATCAAGTCTCGCTACGTCCAGTTTATCAACACACTTCAGGTACTCAGAACACACTTCGCGCGTGAACATAACTTACTAAATCTCGTAGTAACTTGCATCGAGTTTCCCCACACAGCCTGCGCAAATGCAGTAACAAGTGTGCATAAAGTGAAATGTTTGCTAAGTAAGTTAGGCATCTCGTCCATTGATATTTCCAAGGTTTATAGCCTCGTTAAAGGAATCACGGAATCTTAAAACTCTTCCAGTATGTATGTACATATATGTGTGTATGTATGTAGTATGTTGTATGTGTGTAGGCGGCGACCCACGACCCGTCGGAGGAGGTGAGAGAGAAGATGGTGGGCCACGTGTTTGACCTCCTCCACCAGCGACCGGAGCAGGAGAAACTGCTCCTGACTCAGCTGGTCAATAAACTCGGGGACCCTCACAGGAAGGTGGCCTCAAAGGCCGTCATGTTCATACTGAAACTCCGTGAGCCAACGACAAACTATGTGTTTAGTAGCGGGAGAGAGGTGCAGGGGGTCATGGTATATACATAGCTATATAATGTAGTTATGCTGTATTACGTAATCACCCACTGTGTTTAATGAGAGGAGGGGGAAGGGCCGAAAACCTGAGACTAGGATTCAGCCCCAAATTGGTTTTTAGTGCACAAATTTTAGAATCCTGTAAAATTCCCTCCTAGCTTTGGTTGATTGTGTTGCCTGTGGTGTGGTTGTCTTCTCTCGTGCTGCAGTAAACCATCACGTGAACATGAAGATGGTGGTCACCAGGGAGATAGAGAGCCTTCTTCACAGACCCAACATCTCTCCAAAGGCTCAGTGAGCTGCCTGCCTAGTCCATACATACATACATACATACATACAGTACACGTTAGTAAGATACTGTACTGAGAATGTTTCGAGAGAAAGAAAATGCTTTTTACGGATTGCCCTAAAATTTCGTTGAGGAAACGTGAATGGGCTCTCAAACCGTGAACTTCACAAAACCCTCAAAGCTTCCTCCTCAACTGTAACAGTTGGTTGTAGAGCTATGTAGCATCAAGATGTAAGTGGCGTTTTTTCAATGCACAGGTATTACGGTGTGTGTTGCCTGAATCAGCTGGTGCTGAGCCCCGAAGATGGGCCTCTGGTGGCCAAACTCATGGACGTCTACTTCACTTTCTTCAAGGTACGTATATCACAGAGAGAGATACACAGAGAGATATAGTTATACCTAGTAGAACATTGTCAAAGCTTGGAGCTTGTCGAAGTCGTGTCTTGATCTGTTGATCTGTTGAAAGGTGTACGTGCAGAAGGAGAGTCTGGACAGTAAGATGCTGGCCGCCCTACTGAGTGGAGTCAACAGGGCCTTTCCCTTCATGACCGGTGGGCCCCCTCCCCTATACACCTCTGCCCTATACCACCACTACTAACATTGTGTACCAGCAATTTATACTTAATTTTTCGCTATACAGCATATACCATAGGTTTTCTTTAACCATATTATTATGCTGGTGTGTATGCTATTGCCTTAAAGTTTTGTCAGTGAGAAGTTTCGTATTTCCATGTTCCGCAGAGGAGCTGCCCTCATTTGAGACCCACCTGCAGAGTCTGTTCAAGGTGGTCCATGTGGGGCCAGTTTCCACGGGGATCCAGGCCCTCATGTTACTCCACCAAGTCTCGGAGTCGAGACACTCCGTCTCCGACCGCTACTACAATGCCCTTTACTCCAAACTGATGGACCCCGCCCTTAAAAACACTCCAACAGACAAGTAGGTCTGTGGGGTGAATATTGTGTTTTTTCTGGATATGGTGGATAGGGAAAGGGACTGCGAAATAGATGCAAGAGTGGAATAGGGACAGTGAGTAGGCAAAATAATGCGAGATAGGAACAAAGACATTACATGTAAATGCCCATTTTGCTGACTTTTTTGTTCCAAGTATTCTTGGTTGTATGTATCTTGTGCTGCAGGCAATGTTTCTGAACGTGTTGTTCAAGTCTTTGAAGAGTGACCCCTCAATGAACCGGGTCAAGGTATTACGTAACACTCTATAATATGGGTCAATGCTATAGTGTGGGTGAACGCCATATGTATATGGCTGTATGTTGTGAGTACGGGGTTCTCTTGCTGCAGGCGTTTGTGAAGAGGATGCTGTACGTCTGTGCCTGTCACTCTCCCTCCTTTGTCTGTGGGAGTCTGGTTCTACTGTGTGAGGTGTGTGCAACACTACTGTGTGTGATGTGAATCGATTTGATTTGCTTTTCTGCAGCTACTGAAGGAGAAGCCAGCTCTATGGCCGTTCGTAATGCAGGGTAACGACGCGGAAGAGTTTGGGGATGCCCCCCCTGCTAATCATCATGGTGTGGAGAGGAGAGATGGTGAGGGGGAGGAGGAGGAGGGTGTGAGTGGTGTCGAGGAAGAGAAAACGGAGAAGGCAGTGGGGCAGAGTGAGAGATACAGAATTGGTCACAGGAACCCTCAGTTCTCTGGGGCTGAGACAACTTGTCTCTGGGAACTCAAGGAGGTAACACATTACAGTTTAATGCAACAGAATTTTTGACAATCGAACGTGAGTTCAGGTGGATTTACACTTATTTAGAAATATACACAAAGCATGACCGTATTGAGGACATTACTAGACATATAGTATGCACGCTTACATAATTATGTTACTCACCCTTCATGTGCCTTGGTCTAACTACTGTATCTTCCTCAACAGTTGTCTCGTCACTACCACCCATCAGTACAACTCTTCTCGAGGAAGATTGCCGCAGTGAGTAACCTCCCCTTACTCCTCATCAATCTCCTCTCTCCTCCCTCCCCCATCTCCCTCTCCCCCCGCAGGGAGAAACTGTAGTCTATGCCAGCGATCCTCTGGAGGACTTCACAACCATGAAGTTTCTGGACCGTTTCGTCTACAAGAACCCCAAGACACGTGCCAGTGACCACGGGGGCTCTGTCATGCAGGTACACAACTCACACGCACACACACACACACACTATTGTAGGAACCTACATAGTGGTGAAAAAGGTGCTCTCTTGCTGTCTCCTCAGCGTGTCCATAGAAGTGGAATGGCTAACAACAGAGAACTGATGGGTGAGTCAATGGAAACTCCAACCTTATACCATTCTGTATAACAATGACATTTCACCAAAAAATGGTGATCTCTTGCAGTTTTGCAAGATTATCCCCACTCTATGCATCAAATCTTAAACTACTACGCAATAAAGATTACTTTCACTCTATTTGTTTCGAGTCTTGTGTACAACTACTATATACAATGACGTGATGTGTTCCGTGTGACCCTGCAACCTCGCCTTGCTCTCCCCGCAGCAAACTCTGCAGCCTTTGCGGCTCTGGATGAATCTAAAGTAGACGTCAAGGACCTCTTTATGCACAGGTGTTGCCATTATACAGTACATGTGTATTACCAGAAGATTTTGCGGTTTGACGGACACGTGTGGAATCAATCGCTGAATTTAAATGCCCCGGAATTTTTTCTGTCATGTGCTGCACATGATGACTTTCATACAGAGTACTTTCCAGTTTCAATGGCCCTTTTTGAGGCAAAGTTGTGATCACTGCATGGTTGGTCAGTATAATGTTTCACCACAGCACGCAAATTATCTAATGGGGCTGTTGTTAGACAAGTGTGTGTCTGGCTGCATCTCAGGTTTGTTACTCAGAGAGGGAAGACGACGGCAGGGAGAAAGAGGAAGAGGAAGAAGAAGAGTGAGGATGGTGAGGAGTGGGAGGAAGAGGAGGAGGAGGAGGAGGGTGGGGAAGATGAGCAACAACAGGAAAAGAAATTTGCAAACATGGATTTTGCTGGGTATGAAACTTACAGACATTCTATTTATGTGTGAACAAATCTAAGTATATACCTGTTACCTTTCACACTATATATACACGTCAAGAAATTGATCGTGTAAGGTTCACTTTCACTTGACGTGATCACATGAAATATTAATATAGAGAGCTACAGAGGGAGGTGAGAGAGGGACAGGAGAAGAGAAAGAAGAAGAAGAAGAGGAGAGGGTCTGATGGTAGTGATGATGATGATGATGGTGGCAGTAATGGGAGCTCAGAGGACGAGAAAAACAACAGTGAGCTAGCAAACAACTGTTACTTTCGCACTATTACACCACGCAGTCCAAACTATGTTTGTTGCTAATTTCGAGGTTTAAGGGTCATCTTTGCAACTTTGTAGGCGGGTCATACTATAACAATCTGATAAACTATTAGTTGCTGAGTCACGAACTGTACGTGGTGTATGTGCAGTGTACAGATATGAAGATATGGACGAGGGAGTGTGGGGAGAGAGTGAGGATGACGAGGGAGAGGGAGAGAAGGCAGAGACCGTCTCGGAGGCTGAACTGGAGAAACTGCTGCTCGACAACATGTCTGACAATGAGTCAGGTCCTGAGGAGGCGGATGAGAGGGAGGAGGATGGGAAGAAAGCAACCGGCAAGAAGAAACTGGGCGGGTAAGAGACGTGGTGGTGGTGTCTGGTGTAAATTTCTTTTTAATGTCACATCTCCATGCAGTTCACTGAAAGGGAAATTTGATGCAAGCAGAATGTTTGCTGCTGCTGATGAGGTGAGCGTTTCTGGTACACGTTTGTCCAAGCTGGCCGTGATAGCTCAGTTGGGAGAGCGACTGAAGGTCCCTGGTTCAATCCCGGGTCACGGCAGTTTGGATAGTTTTACCCATTTTCCTACTGTACCTCTACAGAATTCTTACCCGGTTCTTTGTCCTACAGTTTTCTCACCTACTGGAGAGTGGAGCCGATGATGAGAGTCAGAAGAAGCAGCTGAACTGGGAGAGAAAGAGGTCGGGAAGACATGAACAGTACAGAGCCAAGGGAGACAGAGACGGAGGGAGGGGGAGAGGAAGGGGGAGAGGGGAGGGAAATGGAAGGAGTGGCGTGAAAAGAGGGAGAGGAGGAGGGGGTGGAGGAAGGGAGGGCGCGGTGAAGAAGAGGAGATTACAGACAGGCCGCAGGAGGAGAGGCAGGGGCAGAGGAGCCCAGAATATGCGGAAAAACAGAATTAGAACTTGACAGCAATTGTATCATGGTCCTGTTTCATATATCGTTTAAATTGTGAGGTTATTGTGGCCACAAAATATGTGTTAGCTATTATAGGTCCTGCTATAATATATAAGCTACGAAGCTAGGGTTAGTACGTTGATAGTCATTCTTTGTGTAAGTGAGGTTCCAGCGGTCGTCGTGTCTTCCTGTACCCCTCCCCCAGCTCTTTCATCTTCAACCACAGTCCATCAGCCACCGCTCTTCCTCTGTCGACCCACTTCTTGTACCACTTCTCTCCCACCCTCTCCTCTTCCTCCCCTTCCGGCACACTCCCCTCTCCCCTCCTCTCCCTCCACACCCACACCAGGAACAGCGAGACCAGTGGTACCACCAACACCACCAATAACACCTGGATACAAAAATCCAATAAAGCTGCTTCGTTGAATTGATATGTAGCAAACTTTGGCGCTCTTTGGGGGAGTTCTATTCTCATTTGAACACATCTCTTATGAGATCTTATGCATCCCTGAGGACCTAAAGCCAGACCGGCAAACGATATTGCAGAATGCTTGCAAAGAGAGATTAATTATACTGAAGTTTCTGCATGCGATGAACTCTGTAAATAGTTGACTAACAATGATTGTGACGAATGTGGTGATGGGACCCATGGACATGCCGTGGACTCTGACTGTGAACTCCACTGTCAGGTCGCAGTAGGTGTCTGCCTGACCCACATCTCTGTGCACATGGACATATATACATAAGCATACTCTCACATTACATCGAAGGTGAGTAATGCAGGTCAATGATGGGTGTGGTAGGAAAGTTCATGTAGAGTACAGTGGGTGCAGTGCCCTGAAAAAACACGGATTTGTTAATGGAATTTGAGGAATTTGAGGAACGAAATATTGGAAGAGAGCAATGCTCTAGAAAGTGTGGCAAGTATTACGACAAGTGACAGGTATGTGCACAATACGCAATATTTACGGAAAATTTGCGAACAGACTTATGTTCGAATCGACTTGGAGGCACTGTAGCTGTGTAACCTGTTGGAGGCCTGGATGAGAAGGTAGTATTCTGGACTGCCCCTGCTACCAGGGAGAACCTCTCCACACGGACTGCTCAGTCCACACGTCCACCTGTTGTAGAGCAGAGAGTGAACTTTCTTGACACTTCCTTTGCAAAAGTTACTGTAGAGGCTGTATTATGGAGGAACAACGATCGCAACTAGTTGGGAGAGCGTCATACTGAAGATCTGAAGGTCCCTGGTTCAATCCCGGGTCACGGCAGTTTTCTTCACTTTTTGTTTGTCCTAACGAAACCTGGTGCCTTGTGAGCATTGGCACACAGTTGAGAATCACGAACAGCCGTGATAGCTCAGTTGGGAGAGCGTCAGACTGAAGATCTGAAGGTCCCTGGTTCAATCCCGGGTCACGGCAGTTTTATTACCAGATTTTTGTTCCAAACTAAGGCATCGGGCTAAAGATCTGAAGGTCCCTGGTTCAATCACGGCACGATTTTTTAAAACTAGATTACGCACCAGCAAAGAATGTTTGAGGATACAAACCATAAAACATTCTGCGAAACTCACTCAATTTTGTTGCTGTCATGACTGATGACATCATCGGCCGAGACAGTCCATATCTGACGCTGACTACATCATGGGGTGTAGTAAAATGGTATATTTTGGGTGCAAAATTAAAGTTACACCCCTACTTAGCATTTGCACATTTTAGTGAGGTTTGTGAAATGCCTTGCAACAATGGCTACACTAGAGTCTTCTACACTAGAGTCTCATACATGTTGGGACTGAAGCTCTGCATGTCGGATGTGCTGATGCCTCCAGCCAATACACGTAGGGTGTATGGCCCAGTGTAGGCGGACCACTCACCAGTCACTGCATCAACCAGCTTCATCTCCGGACGAAACTCTGCCAGGGAGAAGAAAGAATGTGATACACATCCGGGGGAATTTTGTGTTAAATTGTTTTTTGATGGGGATTAAAAAATCTAACACCACCACATTGCAAACACTATTGCATGCAGCCCCTAAAATATACTGAGAAAATAACCAAATTCACCTACGAAAGATACTGTCGCTAAAATAGTTATTGTGTGTGTACCATTTCCAAAGTAGTAGCAGCTGATGTTGTTGGTGGTAGTGCAGAACTGGTTGTCTCTGGCCAGGGTGGCGACGTGATCAAACACCAGAGACAGGCCTGGAGGACAGCCCACATGCACTCTGGTCTGCAATCGTCCCTTTTGGACATGAGACAGACACAAAGAGAGAGAGAGAGAGGTAAGTTGAGTATTGTGTCTGAGGCATAAGGTACTTACAAGTAGCTGTGGACGAGGGTTGAGTGGATCAACACACTCCATTCCTACACCTCTGACCTGTTGTAAAAGCAACTCAGGATAATAAGACTGCAATGTATGAGGACTAACAATTTACCTGAAAGTGAACGTCTATCGATCGTAGTATGGTGGCCGGAGGTACTTGTATCTGTGTTCTACGCTCAGTTCTTTCCCGGAGGCTAACCTGATGTATGTGTCACAGTTATCCAGCAAGATGTATACAAGCACACCATGGGTGAGATGTATCACAGCTAGTATGTATCTAGTAGGATGTATTACCAGATACATCACAGTGCTGTTGCTGGGGTGGAAGGTTCCCTGGGTCACCACCTCAACTGTGTCAGGTCTGGAGAGGGTAGGGACCACCTGTAGCTCATCCACACCAGTAACACCTGCAAAAAAACACCAAGTAAGAGAGAAGTTACGTAGTAAAAAAAACTTTTGTGGGAGAAAACCTGGAAGCAAGTTACTTATCTTCATGAAACTTCTGGGTTGGGATCATTGACAAGCAATGCACATTTATCCTACTCCTTTGGAATTCCAATAGTTTATTTCACCCTCGAATGTAACCAGTAGTGAGAGCGAGAAGAGGTGAAAGGGCACACCTTCCAGCAGGGGATTGAGAAAGAGGTGGACGGTGAACACGTAGCTCTCTCCCGGTCTCAGAAACACGTCAGTCGGAAGAGCATCGCTCATCACCCCACAGTTGACCCACGGGAGCGACTCGCGATCTACTGACTCCAGAAATCCCGTCCTCTGCATCTCCACGACGGAGCGAGTGACTCGGTCGCAGATTGGAGCCTCTACGAGGACACGTGTGAGTGGGCAAATGAGGGAGGTTTGACGGAGGCGGAGTAGAGGGTGTGGCCTGTCCTCTAGTGAGAGAACGTCTTCATTGGATGAGAGGTGTAGGGAAGAGATTAGGTTGGATTCGTTTGACGTCGTAGGAAAGGAATTGTAGAGGGCATGAGACAGTAGGAGAGATACAGGCAGTTGTAATTCTTCCCCCTCACCATTGACCTGTGCATACAACAGCAACGAGGTCGCAAGGCGAAGGAAGGCAACAGTGCACAGCAGCTAGCTTTAGGTGGTGTGTTCCTTACAGCAACAAGGTGCCCCTGTGAGTCCAGAGCCAGTGATGCAGATGCGAGGAAAGAGGTGAGCGTGGCAGTGGGACCATCTCCAGTCCACATCCACTCCAGGGTAGGGCTGGGGTATACTCTCAGCAGTGGGGATACACCAGTGACCCCCAGCCACACTTCTGACACTCCACTCTGACGGAATGGTAAGTATACACTCTTTTAGGTAAGCATTCCCTATATACTTAGGCATAGAAACTTTGCATAGCTTCTGAATCAAATGCTTACTTGCTATTTGCTGTTTTGCATGCTATGTGCTCTCGATCTTGAGAGCTCTTTTGTACACTTTGTGCCCCTGCATCTGGCAATAGATTGTGTAGCCCATGCATTACCTGACTGGTGGCAAGCAGAGCATAGAAGATGTTGTTGATGAGTGTAAAGGAGGTGATACTGCTGGAGATTGGTAGCAGTAGCTGGTACCATACACACCCTCTGCATGGGCTGCGTGTATATACATAATGCACAATTAAACCGTATCGTATCTTGATCACTGATTCTGGAAGTCAGTCATGTTTGTAACCTGTATAGCATGGAGCTGTTTGCAGTGACCAATGTCTCAGTGGTGGATACCGAATAGACGTGAGTCGGAGAAAAGCTACGAGTGTTGCCTGAACAACTTTCCGACTGAATAGCACTCCACTGCAACAGTTCTAGCATACACAGTAGGGTTAGGTGTTGAAGTCAGCTCTCCTGCTAAGAAAACCGATACCTGTATTCTCTAGGCATTGTGGTAGCTCAGTAATATTTGACCCATGAGAGTATTCTCCTTCTTCTTGGACATATGTCGGCATCCGTATTCTCTTGCTGTAAAAACGTACACTTTGCTATACTACAAAATGCTTGCCAGCATGATCGTATATTATACCTGATTCCTCTCAATGGAGGAACGGCAGTAGTAAAGTCAGCCACGTGGACATCAATGCACGAACTCTCTAGGAAGTGCTCAGCAAGTTCCACAGTCCAATGACAGTCTGGAAATGGTTAGTTAGACTATTGCAAGTGTTAGAGACTGCAAAAGACTTCAGCTAGCAGGCTTGAGGTATTGGGTAACTAGCCTGCATTGCCAGTGCAGTTCTCGTGGCCGCCAAGGTGAGTCACCAAGGTTTCTGACGTACTGAACACTTCGCTGTCAATGTCGTCTGCCGGCAAAGCATACGGGCTGGCTTGCACGCATGTCGTAAGACTAACCAACGCCGATACCGTTCCGGGGTAAATCTGCAAAAGAACAATAACCATGCTCACCATTTAATGCATTTTCCACAACCTCGCATGGAGTTGTGTCTGCGACCCCCGAACAGCTGCCCTTGCAGGTTGATCCCACAACCAGCTCTCGACCTCTCAGCTCCGCCGTGAATTCCCCGTAACCTGCCTCCTCTGCTAGTGAGACGGACAGAAGAGACAGCAGAAGAATTAGCGGAGAAGCAACAGCGATAGAAGAAAAACCACCACGGGCTTCCATTTTCGCGCGAATATGGCGCGTCGTAATATTACACCGCGCATGCGCATAAATAGCAGATGACTGGTGGTGGTGTCGGCGGTGGTTATGGATCTCCTTTTGTCTGCAGTGGTGTCACTTTTGCTAGTATCTTCGACCTGGGTATTAATTATATTACATATATATTGCTCTGCCAGTTATATTTGGCTCTCCAGGCTGGCTCCTGCAATGTGACGGCAGAATGGAGCCCTGTGGCGGTGGACCTGGTGCAGCTGCAAGTGGCCAATGAGTCAGACCTCCCCTGCCTCCAGAGCCTGAGACCTCTTGTTGGAGCTCTAGCTACCACCAGGTTCCCATTCATGCTGAGTCAAAAATCACAGTGCTGTGTCTCACGTTTGTTCACTACAGCGGTGGAAAAGGCTTGGTGGTGGACATTTTGAAGAACTCAAGCGTACTATTTCTTATACCACTTGCCATGTGGGAAGACCCGGACACTAATAACAGTATACGGTCTCACTAAAAGGTCCTAGTGTTTAGTTTTGATACATCTTTATACTAGGTCTTTGGAGGGTTGAAGATGGACAATGCTGGCTGCAGTTCACCCCTGTCCTTGGTTTTGAAGGAGATATCCACGTTAGCCATTATCATACAACCCTTCTTTAACTTCTCTCACTACTGCACTAAACACATGTGTGTTAATTCAGGAGATGGACATTGGAGACCATCTTGTTCTAAAGGCCGAACTAAACCTCAATGATCCTGGTCAGTCTCTCGGAGTTTTTCTATTACTTTTCAGCTTTCTACACAGAGCAACATGTTGTTCGAGCCATATCTCTACTACCGGAGTACTTATGGTTCATCAACGTCGACTTTGTGAGCTCATTTTCACGTCTCTGAGAGTGAGGATAAGCTAATGATCAAACGCACACACATTGGCTGCAGGAGGATCCTGGATTATTCAACTACAAAGTGAACGTGGAGCACACTCTCACTGGCAGAAATATATCGATACATATTTGGCAGAAGAACTCTACTCCTGTAAGTATATCCACGTCCACCAGAACACTAACACACCATTTACTCCTCTCTAAATCCTCTCAATGCATAGACTGTGTCAGACGTGAGAGTGTCCTGGATGCATGCACCTCAGTATGGATGTACCCAGTCTCGCCTTACAGTTACCATTAGAAGTGGTAACTATTATTACCATTAACCCAGAAATAAGCATAGAGGTCCTTTGTTGTAGGTTGTCCATCTCAGAAAGTGTTCCAGTTCATTTATCCCGAGGTTCAAACCGGTGGTCAGCAGATCACACTTCCAGTAAGTGAAGCAACAGCAAGGTTCTAATAAAACCAAGTTAGCTGCACGTTACGTTTCAGGTGAACTATCGACCTCCGTCTCCTCTCGGATCCTCTCTCCCCACGTCTCCTCACATTTATCACGCAGACCCCAGCCACCCACTCACCAAAAAACACTTCGAGATATCTCAGGTGCAACCCTAAAATAGCTTTCGTGTACCCTGCCCAATCAGTAGTGTATTTTTGCCAGAATGCTGACTTCAAACAGTGTCAAGATAAAGCCTCACGGTTAGGAGGTGCAGCAACCTTATTGCGCACCTGAAGAACCACTGCTCTTCTATATTATGCAGGGAAGAATGCAACTGTACTCATGGAATGGTGCAGTCACAGGATATAGCATTCAGTGACTGTATCTACAAGGTACTGACACTACCTCATTCATTTGATTGATGAGCTGTTTGTGGAAAGCAAGCGAGATTTCAATTAGCATTGCTTCCAGTACTGAGGATTTGTTTGTCATAGAACTGTGAAAATGAAAACAATCTGACTCTGTCCCGTGTCTTGAACTTGTTATACGCGGGTGAATCGTGGCTGACAGCTAATGTTAACTTAGGTGTACAGACACGCATTCCAGCAGCCATTCCAATTGGAGTTCACCATCTCTCTCGGAGAGGGGGAGGAGGAGGAATTTACTGAGCCCGTAACTCTTGTAGAGGTCAACGGACGAACCAGCTTCGAAATCAGAGGTGAAATATCAATACCACAGAGAAGCATAATAATCCACAGAGTTTGCAGGTCTAAGGAATGGCAACATCTCACCAGAGAACAGACACTCAGCCAATATTGTATTTGAGGTGAAAAGCATTTTAAATGTAGTAAGACGCAATGTGTGGTCCTACAATGGATCATCGATCACGTGTGTGGTACTAAATTCCAGGGGCCTGAGTTATTTCACTTTGAGGCAAGGGTGGACACGAGCTCATCATTTTGTAACCTTACCACCTACTTTATTGTGAGTTGACACCACGTACGAGTTAACAAAACTAACGGCTCGCTGCTCTTGTTCTCACCAAGCTTGCACACACTTATGCTTATTTCCCGAGTTTAATAACACACATAGCTAGGTCACTATTATGTATGGCGACTGATGTTTGTTATTTCAGGTCTATGTTGATAGAGTTCCTCTGATGAGAGCTGCAGAATACAGCATCATTGTGATCAGCACTGTCGTTTTTGGAGCCGTGACTGTCTTCATGTACCTCCTCCACCACTATAAACAAAACTTATCATTATCATGATTGCACTAGCTAATATAATAACAGGAAGGTTTATCATTCTTTCTTATAACATCACCTAACTCTATAGCTATTGTCTAGTGCTCCTAGCTATGCTAGTCCATAACTGCACAGAATGTATTTTAGTCAGAGCATTTGATGCAGCAGTACCACAACCAGCACAAGATGCACGGAGGGAAAATCACAGACGAAACGCAGCAGAAGGCGTGCATCATGAAATCACCGCAGCTGCCATCACTACTGCTGCTCCTCTCACGGTAGACACTGCCAGAACTCCTGCTGGGAGCTGCCTCAATAGCTACCATTGAATGAATAAGACAATGTTTTAGACCAACAGCAGTGCATTGAGCGGTGAATATTATGAAAGGGGGCATGCGGTGTGATCTTAATCATTGACTCGGTGAGTGGTTCATGCACGCAGCTGTATTAGGGACTGCAAATAACTATTCATTGCATGTGTTTATGTTTATGTTACCTCTTAGCTGCTGTGAAGAACCGGATCTAGGCTATAATATTGTTGTGTGTGATTTGAGTAAAAAAACAACACTTGTGTTATCCCTGGAAAATTGTGGGGTAAATATCCGTAAGAAAATATAATTAATATCTTCTTCGAATACGTTTGCATATACCTGGACGGCAGCCAACGTGGTTTGTTGGCCGGCGATGACTGCAGTTTTCCCGTCTTTCGTCGGTACGGCTGCCACGATAGTCTTTCGCTCCAGGACCAGACCTGTTTCGACGTCGAGCACTTGCTCCGTCTTCACCGCCACTTCCGCGTTGCCTTCCCGCATAACCTCCACTTTAGTACTAACTACAGCCATTTCTTCACCGATTGTTTACAGCGCTGCGTGCGGGTCTGGCGTCTGCGTTAAAAATTCAATAATAGTTCCGCACACAATAATATTCATGGTAAGCTGCAGACTGCAGTATAAAATGTCAATTACACTGCAGTCTCCGTCAGTTATCATCACTAGAACAACAGTAGAGGAGCCAGCAGCAGAAGAGCGGAGGGAAAAACAGGCTGAAGAAGCAGAAGGCGCAGTGAATGGCGCACTTGTCCTCGGCGCTCCTCTTCCTCCTGTAGTGCTGAGGAGACGGAGGGGCTGAGTAGTGTACGGTACGAGGTGGCTCCCTTGTCACGTGCTGTGGTGTGGGCTGTCTTGGTGGCTCAGGAGCTATGATGATGTATTGGGGACTCTGCTGCTGTGCTGGAGCTGCTTGAATAGCTGCATTTGTGAGACAAAAGCAACCACGAGAACTGCAGCTCATTGGAATCTTGCCATAATGCAGTTCAGGTATTATACAAGGGGAATACCGAGGGGCTCAGTGTGTGGGTGTACACCTAGACATAATGGCCAGACATTCACTATACAACTGCTGTGTATATATACGGATGCTCATGCACACTCCTGCCATACTCTATAGCGACGCCCCCTTACGGTCAGTGTAATGGGCCAAACACAGAATCATTACAATACTTTCTGTTTTAAAAACTGTAATGCATAGCAACAAGCTAGCTCTCAGATACGTCACAGATTTCACTCTAACAGCTATTCCTGACAGCAAATAGAAAATAATCATTCTCAAAGGCGCAACATGAGGCTCATGTACAGCTGGATCTACAGTTTGTTATCACAAGTAACGAAACTAGCTACATAGAGGCAAGTTTCCAACAACTGTGCCCGCATAAATAACAAAAACTATACGAATTGCCTCACCTCTCCGTTGTGGTACAGGGGAAGGCCTAGGCTGCAAAGAATACAAATGAAAAATCCTTGAATAAACTGGCGCTTCTAGCAACATTATTAATGGCCAATATACACGGTTGAGTGCAATATTTCAACCGGGGTCAACGAAACGTTTTCATGCTACGTACATGCTGCACGGACCCCCCCATACCATGAGGCTTTGGTCTCGCGCAACCTTGTTGGCCTATAGCTTTTAATAACGTTGTAGACTTCACCTGTACGGCGGCTACGGTTGTCCTCTGGCCGGCAATCACTGCAGTTTTGCCGTCTTCCGTCTGCACTTCCGCCACTACTGTCTTACGCTCAACAACCAGCCCCGTCTCTGGATCTAGCAATATGTCCGTCTTTACGGTGAGGTTCGTGTTGCCCTCTCGGATCGCTTCCACTCTAGTGCCTACCAGAGCCATTATATCGTCCTCTCTCTGCTACTCCTGCATGCTGCGGATTGCGTGCGCTCTCGCGCTAAATATACGCGCGTACGCATGCGCAAAGGCCTGACACATTGCGCATGCGTGTCAGTGGTCCGGTCCGCCGCGGCGCGCAGCACACTGCTTTTTTTTTACTTTCAAGCACCGCTGCTGCCAGGTTAGAGTGCGATGTATTCCTTTACTGTTATATTATCCTACCAATAAAGATGCAGCCTGCGTCATCTTCGCCGAAGATAGCTCTATGAAACATATGACATTGTAGCTAGCTATTTTAGTAGTCAGCGTAGATCGTAGGTCTGATGTATACTAAATCAGTCCTTTGTGAGGCAGTACAAGATCCAGCAGCAGAGAACGGGAGGAAAAAGTACCGTCAACAGACAGAACATGCAATGCATTGCACCGCTGTTGTCCGTCCTGGAAGGAGTGTATGCAGGAGAGTATGCCGAGCTCCCATAAGTCTGTGGTCTTGATCCAATGGCTGTATATATATTATATGGAGTAAATTCAACCACACCATACTGGAACACTTACAGGACACTAGTACACTAGCAGAGGTTGAATCAGCAAGCTAAACACTTTTGAGTATAGCTAGTGAATTTCCGTATATTTGCTGAGAGTGGGTTCTCACAGATGGTTGAGCAAAGCAGCACAGAAAAGGCACCATCTGTTCCTTATGCAGTGGAAGGCAGCATACGACTATACCAACACTAGTAGTAGCGATGTGACTATCTATAATACCTATCTAGCTAAACAAATTTTGCTGTGCGAGCACTTGCTTACCTCTGTACTGAGGCCCTGCGCCGGGCTACAGAGGAAAAACAAAGCATCAGTGGCTATCTGAATGACGCAGGTATTCCTTACCACAGCTCTCACGTCGT